TAACTATGTTTAAATATATTTTTATACATGTTTTGAGTATTTATAAATAACATCTAGAAAAATATTATATTAAATTTTAAAAAATGATTTATTTCCAATTTATCATCGATTTATTACCGCCGCACAGATTATTCGTGAGTTGGTGCCTGACCGCCTCCGATCCGATTACTGCTTTTTACATCCTTGCTGAAAATACTATACCTGCGAAGTTATTGCATGTAAAACTGAAACATGACAAGTTAGAGGACTACATTCATAAATAGGACAATATAGAGGACCAAACTGCAATTTTCCCAAATAAATATTATTCATATTCACATTCATACACGGTGTAGTGAATATTTGTATCCAATGATTTATAGTACCTTTATATATTGGGCCTACTTTAATATAGTCCAATACGATGGGCCTTTATATCTGCTATTTATGTTCATAAATCGACCCAATTTGTTGTGTCTATCCAGAAATTTAACTCAACTAGTATTTCAGCCATGCGTTGCACGGAGGTGAGTTTCAAAATTAGTAAAACAAACTTATGTAAAACAACTATCTCTTTATAACAATACCAATTCAAGTAAAATAAAATTGAAGGAAATAAAAACATAAACTTTATCTCTTAATTTAGAGTTATAACATATGAAATTAAGTTAAAGATTACAAATAAGAAAACATGAAGCGCGCAAAACACGATATCAAGGTTAAGTGAAATCATTTAAAACATATGGTATAACTCTATTTCTTGGATTGCAATCTACTACACCATGTGAATCTTCTGCAATATAACCAAGGTAACAACAAACACGCTAGCAACGAAGTAACACAATAAATATCCAAATAACCTGCAAGTTTATCACTAATGACGTTCAATTAGTGATGCACATTACTCAAACAACAATAAAACTTATAAATATTGCAAAAGAGATATGATGAATACGCCACTACCAGTACTGATACCAATGTTGATACAAATACCGATACTAATGCTGATAACAATATTGTTACCAATAGTGATACTAATTCGATTAATATTAATACTCATACTCATACTAATACTAATAATACTAATACTAATACTAATATTAATACTAATACTAATACTAATATTAATACTAATGTTAATGTTAATACTAATAGTGATACTGATACTAATATTGGTTCTAATACTAATACTAATACTAATACTAATACTAATACTAATACTAATATTAATACTAATATTAATACTAATACTAATACTGATAGTACTAATACTAATATTGATACTAATACAAATATTAATACTACTACTGATACTAATAATAATACTGATACTAATAATAATACTCATACTCGTACCAATACTAATACTAATACTAATAATAAAACTAATACTAATATTAATATTGATATTGATACTGATACTAATACCGATACTTATACTGATATTGATACTAATATTGATATTCATACTCATACTGATAATCACAGTCATACTGATATTCATACTAATACTGATACTAATATTGATATTGATACTGATACTAATACTGATAGTGATACTAATATCGATATTGATACTGATATTGATATTGATACTCATACTCATACTCATATTGATACTGATATTGATACAAATGTTGATACTGATACTAATACATATACGAATACTGAAACTGATATTGATACTGATATTGATATTGATACTGATAATGATACTGATATTGATACCGATACTGATACCGATGCCGATACCGATGCCGATACCGATACTGATGCCGATACAAATGTTGATACCGATAATGATATCGGTACTGATATTGATATTGATACTGATATTTAGACTAATATTAATATTAATACTAATATTAATACTAATAGTAAAACTAATATTAATACTAATACTATTACTAATACTATTACTAATAGTAATAATGATACTAATACTAATATTAATTCTATTTCTAATACTAATATGTTAATATTGTTAATGTTAATGCGAATGTACATATTCTAATGCTAATACTAATTTTAATGTTAACGTTAATCTGGATATGCTTATGCCGATTATAATTGTAATACTAATATTATCCAAATCCTTATCCTATTCCTAATCTTATTCATAACACTAATCATGATTCTAATCCTAATCATAATTCTAATCCTAAACCTATTTCTAACATTAATTATAATCCTAATAATTTTACTACTAATAATACTTATGCTATGCTAATGTTAATTATAATTATAATTATAATTTTAACCATTATCCTAATCCTAATGCTAATCATAATCATAATACTAATACATGTACTAATTGTCATACGAATCAATAATCATAATCTTAATTATAACTCTAATACTAATATTAATCGTAAACATAATCCTATATTAATCCGAATCATAATCCTATAATTAATACTAATACTAATTCAAAGAATATTAATTATAATCCTAATTCTAATGCTAATACTAATCACAATCGTAATTATGATTTTGCATCAATGTTTTTACAATTATCTATTATTTTGTATCAAAAAAAATTCTATTCAATCTCGTAACTTGTATATCAAATTCCTTATGTGTGGTACCTGAAACATCAAGAAACGCATATTAAATATATTAGAAATTAATATTTAATTATATTATCAAACTGACATTAAAATAATTTAAAATAATATAACGGTATTAGCAAACATTAAGACGTGAAAATAACAATACTCGTTGTTAATAGGATAAATTACGAAAATCCTCATGAACGTAGGCTAAATTACGGAAATCACCCCCACTTATCGGTAATTACCAAAATCCCCCAGATGTTTGTTTATGTCTTACACGATCCCCTTATGGTGTGATTTTTTACGGAATCTTTTTTATTCCATGTAATATCCCAAAAATTATGCATTCTAACCTTGCAGACATGACATTTCTTTTACCTTACTTTTTAAATACAAAAATTACCCTTAGGGGAGGTAATAGTAATATTAAAAATTAGTTGTGAAGATGTTATTTAAGAAGGATAAATAATTCGTGTAAAGTCCCCCTCAGGGTAATTTTTGTCTTTAAAAAGTACCATAAAAAAATGTCGTGTGCAGGGTAGAATCTGCATTTTTCGGGGAATATTCCATGTAATAAAAAAAATTCCGTGAAAAATCATACCGTAAGGGGTCGATGTAAGACGAAAACAAACATCAGGGAAATTTTGGTAATTACGAATATAATATTAAATTAGTAAAAAAAATAAACATATTCTTAGGTCATGTTCATGTAAAATGTATAATATCAAATAATTTATTCTGCAATATTTTTTTTTATATAAATCCATGTTTATGAATTAAAATAATAAATTTTCGTAACACCATCAATCATACAATTATAATATGTGAAGATTTTAAATTTAATTTAAATAAATTTAAATTAAATTAATTACTATTAAAATTAAATTAAAAAATAAAACTAATTATAGTTTCCAAGAAAGTTGATATATTTAGAGCATTTTATAAATGGTATGATATAAATATATTAATAAAATAATTAAATATCTTTTTAATTTTGGAAAATGGTGACATGTTTTTTGATGATTTATTTTCACCAATCAATTTGCTAGATGAAATTGAATCCATGTCACCAATTAAAATTGACAAATGTCAATCAATTAGGTGTGAAATACAACTTTTATAGATTATATAGATGCGGAAACTGTTGGAATATACATATATTTTTTGTTATTTTTAGTTTTTATATTTGCAGTATTATTTTTGCTCAAGTATAGATAGAAGTGTTATTGAGTATGTTCTATAATCGCGTTTGTAATAACCATAAGTGGGAATAGCGTTTTCTCCTTTAGTTGTCCACGTGTGCTGAGCTAGTATAAAAGCCAGCTCTTTCTTACCGTTAGTAACTAATTTTCCAATTAATGAAATTTAGCTCTCTCTCTCTCTCTCTCTCTCTCTCTCTCTCTCTCTCTCTCTCTCTCTCTCTCTCTCAAATTCAAAGTAAGCAGATTTTGAAGTATTTACAAGTTTTCGCTTCCGCTCATCATTTTTGTCCTTCGTTGCAATTTTGTTTTTTCTTCTGACTTTTCGATATAAATGGCGTATAATAATTCGTACAACTCGCGCTCAGATCGAAGATATTTCGAGTCCAAATATGTTGTGAAAACCATATTACATGTATATATGCATCATCTACCAATCAATCATTGAAAATAATATCAATAAAAATTTGTCCTTTTGTAATCTTATTGAGGTTGATGAATGTCTCATGTAAGAAGGCAATGTGTTGTTAGGCATATAAATATATAACAAATTAAATTTAGGTGAATGTTAATTATTCCTAGTATTAGGCGACAAGCTGAGTTGTGCTTGGATTAAACTAATAATGGGACTACAATTTAAGTGTGTTTAATTACTTTAAACCAAGAGATAATGATAAGACGGAGGGTACAATATAATATATATTTATATAATAATTAAAAAATCTTAATAATTAAATCCTTAATCTTAATGATTAGATTTTGGGTTAGTAACTTGTTCGAGCTTCTTTGTCGAAATTTATAATGATTGTTTTTCCACTAAAACTCATTATTTGATGTTTGTCGTCTGTTAAGTTGTTTCTCTAATAATAATGCAACAGACGACAAACATCATTCGGCATATATATAAACTTGACGTTTGAAAATTCATAGAGATAGGTTTTTTTTTTTTTTTTTTTTTTTAATATGAAAATGTGTATAGAAAGATGCAGAGAATTTGATAAGTTGGCATACTTTTCATTGCTATGATTACTTTTGAGGTCTAATGAATGTGTATTATACATTTTGTTTTCATAAATCTTTGTAGTTATTATAAAAATATTAATAATTCATGTTTAAAGTCAAAACAGTATTATTAGAATTGAAAACGACATTTAGTTCATGTATCTTTATAAATTGGATCAAGGATTTTGAATGAGGAAAATGGAAAAAGATCATGTATACCCAAACAAAAGATTTAGATTACGCATATTTCTACGATTTTGGTATGAAATTAATGATGGAGTCTTGTATATAACCATATATTGCCATGATATAGGCAAATGTTTTTCATTTACAAGGTGGTGTTAAACTCGTAACTACATATTTTGTAACGACTCTCAGTTCATACGAAATATGTAAACTACACTGAAAAAACTCTATTCACAACAGAAACTCGATATATTTCTAATGCAAAAGGCGAGCGATGTGATCATTGTTAATGTGATATCGAGTTTCTTGTGTGTGATTATTAGTAGCTTTGATCTCTTGAGCACATCTTAGAGTCCTCTCAATTTGGTAGCCTCCACCAATGCTAACTTCTCTCTCTAAATGGCAACAATAACTCTCATACACACTCACGTTTACATGCAATTTGAATTTCATCATGAATATAAATTCAAACTCCAATTTGTTCATTTCCTCCCTTGTTATTCCCCCCACTCTTGCAAAATATGAATTTCTGTAATTCCTGCACAATTCACAAACCAAAAAAAAAGATATATAAGTATATATGAATAAAAATGAATTATTTATTATAAGTTATAACCCTGTTCAGGTTGCATTTGGATGGAAGTATTTGAACACGGGAAAAAATAAATAAAAAAAATTATAATAAAATTGCTATAAACATTTCAAAATACTTAATTCCAAATTCAGAACAATCAAGATTCGAAAAATAATTCAAAATTTTATAAATTATTTACGATTTCTCCTCAACATAAATCCCTCAAATTTCAATCTATTAGAAGTTCTTTTGATTAATCCCACTAATTTCTTGTTTAGTTGCCAAATTAAAGAACATACAAATAAATCTCAATTTCTTTCAAAGTACTTAAATCAAATAACAAATTAAATTAAATTAACAAAAAAAAGAACAAACTTACATATCCTCAACAAATTTGGATGCCACCATGATTGTAGTAATAAGCAACCTATGCACATTTCTTGGTCCAATCCGAAACTCAGGGTAAAACTGACAAAGCCTGTCAATATAAACATAAGCAACGACGTAAACCGACGGCCCGGCTCGCGTGTAACGGAATATTCTCTCCAAGTATGATTGAATCGTCAAATCCGGCGCCTCGTCCGAGTCGAAAACCCGGGTTTTCGACAACTTGTGCGATATTACCCTGCAATTCTTTGCAATTCTCTCATTTCTTGCCAATGTTCGCTCGATCAAAGAAGCAAGAACCGAAATCACTAACGGCGTGTTGTTCGACTCTTCTTCGTATGAGTACGAGTATAGATCATATCTTAGCTTTCTTGGAGAAATTAAAGCCATTTAATTTATTTAAAAATATAATTCTTTTTTTAGTTGTGTTTTAATTTGAATAAAAATGAGAAGGTTTTGAGAGGGATTTATATGGTTTTTGAGAGTGATTTATTTAATTTTTTTGGGGATTTTAGAAGGTGGGTAGGAACTAACTTAGGGAGGAGAATATTAAATTAAAATAAGATATTTATTTAATTAATTCATAATTGACTCCTACTTGTAAAGGCAAGCTCTAGACATACCAGCTAATATTATGCCTTAATTAAATGATGGGATCAATTAAAATATAAATATAACCACCTACTATATATTATAATAATTGTCATTAAATGTTTTGGTCTGAAAGTGTATCTAAGGGCTAATTAGCATTTTATTGATTTTTTTTTAGTAATTTTCAGCTTGTTTATTAAATTATTTACCTTCTGCATGTTATGTTAATAAATATAAATGTATGTACGAAATTTTTCACATTTTCAGTAATTATTCATAAGTTGTGTTACATAAGTATTAATGAAAAATAGCATAACGTAATAATTGAAATTAAATGTAAATATTGTTAGAATTAGTCGCCGACAGTGGGTTGAGGGTAAAGAGGTATTGAAATGTGTTAGGTCAGAGATTGGGTCCACGTGGAGAGAACGAATTTAAGAGGAAGATACTTTTTTCTCTTCATTGAGATTTGTGTCATAATTTAATTTAATTTGATTTAATTTCAAATTGGGATTAATATTTTGGAAGTTGTATATATGGACTATAGTACAAAGTTGCACGTGCAATGGGCATAGACAAAACCATCAAAATCTTGTTTTTGCAACTTGCAATTTTATGACTAGTTTTTTTTTTTTTTTTTTTAAATAATGTAATTTTGTTATAAAATTTAGTGCATAAATAGTAATTTGTAGTGATAATAGGGCAAATTACGGTCACCCCAGAGGTAATATTAATTTACAAAAAAAACCTTCAGTTTGAATAATTATTATTACTTCTCACTTATGAATCTTATTACGCGTCCACTCTTGCACTGTCAAATTTAGTGGAATTTTCTAGATAATATATTCTCCAGCTTGTACCTGTTTTGCTTGATTCGAGTTCCACATTTTGAAACAAAATGATCATAAGACGTGTCTCTTGGTTTTATAAATATAAGATTGTGATGCATCATAAATTGAATTTTTGCACAAAACGAGTAGAAACTATAGAACATTCCATTGAATCTAAAAGATCATGTTGAATTTGACACCATAAGTATGAACGTGTAAGAAGATTCATAGTTGATGACGGTGGTTGCAATTACCTAAATATCAGGGGTATTTTCGTAATTTCACATTAAACTCGTGGGTGGCCATCATTTACCTTAAATAATATATTTTAGGCCATCAAAATAATTGTATAATGGAATAAAATATAAAAATCTACCCCTTAAAAACATATTACTTTTATCCTATTTACGAAATAATGATAAATTATGTCTTCTTATATATGTAAAATCTATCTTGATAAATGATGGGATTGGATGTGAAATAATTAACTAGGAATAAAATAAATAAAATAAATAAAAGATCTGAGATCAAAACAAGTACGATTTTGTACAATATCATGAGTACCAACAATATATTATGTATGAGTTATGACCCATACAGGCTGTGTATGGCCACAATTATAATTTAATTTGGCCCTGACATTTATTTCTCCTCTCATTTCAACAAATTGATTTACAACCAAACAGACCCTAGACTAGACTGGCAATATTTAATTCAAGTACAAAAACAATAATTGACCAATAAATCCAAAAACACTTCTATTTTATCATTTATTTATTTATTATTTTTTGGTTGTACATTAATTCACCGCACGTACTGCACTCAGCTAGTGTCGGTTCTCGACATTTCCTTTGGGAAAGATCAATTGTGTCATTTAACTAGATCATAATAATATTTAAATTCAATTTCATTATCAACTTCAACATAAAAATAAAAAATAAAAAAACCAATTTGGACACCAAATTGGGCCTAACATTCTTGGCCCAAAATAGAAAGTCCATTTATGATGTTGAATTATAAATATTCGTGTAATTCAAACTATGTTAGAGCAACTCCAATGGAGTTATTAAATGGGTTATCAAAACCATTAACAATCATTTTGATAAGGGGATCACTATTTCAAATACTAATTTTTGCTTACTTGAATACCAAAAAAATAAAAAATAAATAATTAATTGTAAATTACTTTAATACCCTTAATGAAAATTAAAACCAAAAAATATTACAAATATTATTTTTCTTTCTTAAAAACCAAATAATCAAAAACCTAAAAAAAACATTTCCCTCCTCACTCACAAACCCCTCACCTCCTCCACCTCCTTCTTCTCCCTCCCCAAAAACCCTCCTAAAAAACCCCAAAACAAAAGAAATCAAAACCTTACACAACTTGCAAAATGGCCTCAAATGACAATAGAATGGTAGTTTACGAGCAAGGAGAACCCATTCAGGTATGTATTCATGTATTTTTTGAGCTAAAACATCGATTTTGAAATTTTTTTTTTTTTAAAACTCGCCATGTATTTTCGACACATACAGGTCGAAAATTCCCTTATTTTTCGACGTGTATGTGTCGAAAATACCCTTAAGTTTCGACACCAAAGTGTCGAATTATGATACAATTTTCGACACTTTAGTGTCGAAAATATGGGTAATTTTCGACACTATAGTGTCGAAAATTGTATCATAATTCGACACTTTGGTGTCGAAAGTGACCTATATTTTCGACACTTAAGTGTCGAAAATATGGGACCACTCTTTATCCATCATACCTTCTTGCTCCTATGTCTCTGTAAGTAACCTTCTTCTTCTTCTTCATACCTTCAAAGATTGAATTTTTTTTGTGATTTTCAAGAAAGTGTTGCTAATTGGTTGAAGTGTGATCGAAATTGTTGAAACCCTGTTGCTGAATTTGGTTAGTTGTTTGATTGCTGAATTAAAAATTGTTTCTTGATGAAAATTGAGGGGGTTTTTACAATTGGTTTCAGATTTGTATTAGTGATAATTTGCCCTAATTTTTTTTTGTTATTGTTGTGATTTTTAAGAAAGTGTTGCTAATTGGTTGAAATGTGATCGAAATTGTTGAAGCCCTGTTGCTGAATTTGATTAGTTGTTTGATTGTTGAATTAAAAATTGTTTCTTGATAAAAATAAAGGGGGTTTCTGCAATTGGTTTTAGATTTGCATTAGTGATAATTTGCCTTAATTTTTTTTGGTTATTGTTGTGATTTTCAAGAAAGTGTTGCTAATTGGTTGAAGTGGGATCAAAATTGTTGAAACCCTGTTGCTGAATTAAAAATTGTTTCTTGATAAAAATAAAGGGGGTTTCTGCAATTGGTTTCGGATTTGCATTAGTGATAATTTACCCTAATTTTTATGTGTAACAAGAATCTAGTTAAAAGTTTTTTAACTGTACATTGTTGTATATGTAAACTGGGACCTTGAATTCCATTTTTCTGTACTTGGCAGGATACGTTTCTTCCTCGAAACCCGACATGGAATTCGATTCTGTACAAGGAAGATGTGAAGAAATCTAACATGTGAACAAAGTTTGCTGAATCAAATGTAACCAACCATCCTCTGTTTGTGTTCTTGAATAAACATCATTGTACTGATGTCAAACTCAGACAATGTCAAGGCTGCTAATATATGGTCACATTGCTCTGTTTCAGTTTTGAGTCAATTGTTCTTACTTGATTCTAAGGGTGTTCGATTATCTTACGAAATTTTACTCACGAGTTTTGATAATTGGAACTGTTCTGTTAAATGAAGTTGAATTCTTGATTAACATTACAGCAATAAGGAATCAAATTCTATCAATTAATAGCACATACACAACAGCTTGTTTCTTACACTGTCATTCTCTAATCTTAAATATGATGCTGGCAAAAGAATACAAACCACAACAAAGCACTGTTTAAAAAAAAAACAGAATAATATATATTATTTCTATTTACACAGTTATATTTGAGGTTTCTCTATGCATTGAATCAACCAGTTACGAGATAATCCATCTTGTCCACAGGCAGATTCAGCACCGACGTTTCAACCTGCAACACACACACACACACACACACACACACACACACACACACAGTGGCAATGAATCAGAATGGATATCAAGAATCAGATAAATAATATATACGAGGAAAGAAATACGTACTTCATCAAACGGAACAAAAACGAAAGGGGTAAGACCCCTGTTGTGTGAAACAGCAGGGATATCGGGATTATGTGTTTCATCCTCTTGCCACCCTTCGACTAATCAGGTAAGACCCCTGTTGGTCGTGGTCTTTTTCTTGGTCGTGACTGCTATGCCCTTGCCTCTATCGGATAATTCCTTCCTCTTCTTACGGTTCGAGACAGTCGGAGGTATACGAGGTTCACGTGGTTCTTCCACTGCAAAATAACACACAAATAAAAATTAATATACATAATATAAACACAAGCAAATAAAAATAGGAAAAAAAAAAAAAAAAAAAAAAAAAAAAAAAAATTCACAGTTCAAATTCGACAGCTACCTGTCGAAAATTGGTTGAATTTTCGACATGTAGCTGTCGAAAATTCATTGAATTTTCGACAGGTAGCTGTCGAATTACCAAAATTCCAAATTCAACAATTTCACCATTTTCGACATCTACATGTCGATTTTTGATGAATTTTCGACATCAACCTGTCGAAAATTCATCGAAAATCGACATATACAGGTCGAAAATGGTGAACGAAGAACCGACCCACGAATCTCAAATCAATGCTCAAATCGACTGAAATCAGATGCACCCATTACTAATTAACGATCATTCTAACCTAAAACAACCAAATCCTAATTACCCATATCAAACAATCAAATCTTAAATAAATATTAAAGAAAAAATATCGAAACAACTATAACTTACTATTCGAAGACGACGACGGCGGCGGCTTTGGGCGACGTTCGGCGGTGTTTGGCGTCGGCGTCCGGCGGCGGCGATGGTTGGAGCGGCGGCGGCGGCGTGGGAGGGGTGGACGGAGGGAGGGGTGGACGGAGGGAGGTTTTTTTGTGTTTGAATTTTTTTTTTCTTTTTTTTTATTTGGTTTTCAAATTGGTAATTTCAAAGAAAAATTGATGTAATTAGTATTTTGTATGAAAGGGTATTTTTGTACTTTTATTTTTATTTTGGTATTAAAGTAAGAAAAAACTTATAAATATGTACTCAATTGTGGTTTTCAACTTGGTAGTATTCAACTAAGCAAAAATTAGTATTCAAAATAGTTGCCCCCTTTTGATAATTCAAGTTAGAAATTTTCCACTCCAATGGAGTTATCAAATGAGTTTCCATTTTGATATTTTAATTTTTGGGATGTAAAAAATACATCCGGAAGAAATAATGCCAATTGGAAGTAACACAACGTAACCACCTAAATAGCCAATTAGAAAATGACATGTGTTAATTAAAATATATAATCACATTATTTATTTTTAATTATCAACTATTTGATATCTATGGTTTGAAGAAAATAAATTTAGTTAGGTATCAAACTAAAATATAAAATATCAAATAAATATTTGATAATTCATTTTGATATTTGTGGGTTTGAGTTGCTCTTACCAAATGATACACATATCATCACATATTATTACACATTAATCCCCATTCACCTCGTCCTGCATCAAAACCACACGCACTTCTAAAAATAGCATTTCTTCCACTTTTCCGCAATTTCTCACCAGTCCCCTAGCACCGACTGCCTAATTGTCGCCTATAATATAACTAGAAACAGTTATCCTCATCGGTTTCAATCCTCCTTTTCAGTCTAACATGTTTATTTTTGGTCCATTTTCACAAAACTAAAATGTCCTTTTTGAGTATCAGTTGTCCACTTTCAATATAGGCTCTACAACTTCGTTGTCTATTTTCAGTCTAATTTGTCCAATTATCCTACCCTAAGGACTTTTGGCAGATTTAAAACATACAGACAAAACTGCATGAAATAGTTTTGAGAAAGTTTTAACCATTTTTTCGATATATATAGCCCCAATGGACGAGTTTTTTAGGGATATATTTTCTCTAAAAAATGAACCATAAAGAGTTTTTAATAATCAAAGTAAATATAAGGGTGATGTACTAAGTAAATCCATTGAATAGCGTTTATAATTTGTTTATATTACTAGACATAAACTCTGACGTGGCCTATATGGCTACTAATAAGGTATGGATGGCCCTTGAACAAAGAAAGCCCAAGGATAAAGCCCACGTGATCTCTAAGAAACTTGCAAAACGGAGTGCCGGAGGAAAGTATTTCCTGGCGGTCGAGTTTATTTTTTACTTGAGCCTCAAGGTTGTATTTACATACGTTTCAGGAGTGGGGTGAGGGACCCCTTAGATCCCTTCGTCATACTCACACATAGGTGTAATGTGATTACTCCGAGTTGCATAGCGAGCTGTTTTATTTATTGCGAGCCAGGTCCCTTCAGTCGCGGAGGGTTCGCGGATATGATCACACATTTTTAGATGTCAAGTGGACAGTTCCTTAATCCGTGTTAAATTGCAGGTTTTCCATTTTTCTCTGGTCAAATTTGCCGTTTACAACTGTTTTATACATGCTAGTAGTTTGGCCTAGTGGGCTAAGCGGGAGTCGGTCTGGGCTTTATTCTTCTGCTCTCGTTGTTGTCGGTCTTTAAGACAATCCGACCTGTATCAAACTCCATTCGCGTTAAGTGGATATAAATTTTTTTTTATCCAACTATTTCTATGTATTCATTTTACACATATATATATACATATATATATATATACATATATATATATATATGTAAGCAAATTAGTTATAGTATGTTCAATATAATCATTGGTGGTCTCTCACTTAACTCAAATAACTCCATATACATTATAAATAAATTTAAAAGAGGGTTATTATATTCTCTTCTCCAAGGAACCGTAGAAATTGTGTGGTGTTACAGTTAGAAACCGACCAAGTGTTTTCATTTAGTCTCCAATCATTTGTGTCGACCCCACAAATATTCTTTTTTTGCATGGAAAATATTTATGTAATAAAAGTTAGATTAAGTTATTCCCAATCTTTTTTTATAAATTCTTTGGTATATACGAATAATTAATTATTTATAATGATTCGACCATAAAAAAGAAAAGGAAAAGAAAAAGAAAAAGAAAAAGATGATGTAAAATTAATTCTCCATTGATAAAGGTATTTCATTTTTTTCCTTGTGATTCTTGATTTTAGATAATGTTAAATAAATAAATAAAACTTTTGACTCACTCACGCGTATAGCTTTTCCATGAGTTGCAATCAGCAAGAATAATATATTCCTTTCTTTCCACTTTGATTCTTGCAATATATTGAATGAGTATCTCATCTAAAAAAATAATACTAATAATAATAGTGACACAATTTAGTGAAATGTTTTTAATTTTTTGAAACTTTTCTATGTAAGATTTGATATGATGGTTATTTCCCCTTATTCATGTCATAATATGTACAATATTTACATCCAACCTATCGTTTTGTACGTATATATACGGATTGAAAATAGGTTTACATATGTTGGAGTTTTGGGTCTCTTTCTATGTGAATAAAAAATGGCATAGAAATTTGACATGCCTAATTGCGCCATCCCAATGGGCCTACAATTTCTTTACCTACTGGGCTTCGAGCTCGATATCGAAGACTAATATTACCGAGGGCCAAACACCTTCAAGTAAGGCTTGGGCCCAACAAAGCAAACTCAACCCAATAAACGACATATAAATAGAGGTTTTACTCATTTTATTAAGGTACGTCCTATTAACTGAGCAATACTACAATACGTATTCTCTGGACTATTTCTACTATCAGCATGTCTGACTTGAGCGTCGAAGGGGTTTCCGCCGGATCAACCCCCGGCTTAGTTCATGTGTGCTCATTTTGCAGGGACCTCAGGATCATCAAGTTGGCAAGCTACTGATCTGCTTTGCTCTCCCACCTCATTTTCTACACCACCCTAGGTGAGCTATATATTTAGCATCATCATTTTGGCGCCGTCTATGGGAACGATGCAAACCAGATCACGCAGCTAATCAAGATCCTCCTGAGGCGTCAGCTCGGAGAGAAAATAACACAGCTAATCAAGATCCTCCTGAGGCGTCAGTTCGGAGAGAAAATGACACAACTAATCAAGCTCCTCCTGAGGTGTCAGCTCGGAGAGAAAATAATACAGCTAATCAAGATCCTCCTGAGGCGTCAGCTCGGAGAGAAAATGACACAGCTAATCAAGATCCTCATGAGGCGTGAGCTCGGAGAGAAAATGACACAGCTAATAACCTCCCAGTCCGTGGATAATCTGGCATGCCACCTCCTCCACGTGCCGCGGAGCCACTTCCTCCACGTGCTGCAGATCCACCTCGCGAGGTTCAGGTGATCCCCCATCGGGACCCACCACTCGCCGATCCACCACTCCATGCTCCTCGAATGGTTCAAATAACCGAGGATGCGCTTCAACGCATGATAGCAGAAGGTTCAACTCGCGCTGCCACAGAGGCCATGACCCAATATATCGCCACGATGGGAGCAAATGCTCCCAACGCGATACCAGCACCTGCTCCACATGTGGAGCCACCTATGGCACCACCGCCATCGACTCCCTGGGGGCTTACATCTGCCCCCAAAATATTTCGTTCGCCAAGGGTTATCGACTCCCTGGGGGCTTACATCTGCCCCCAAAATATTTCGCTCGCCAAGGGTTATCGACTCTCTGGGGGCTTACATCTGCCCCCAGAATATTTCGCTCGCCAAGGGTTATCGACTCCCTGGGGGCTTACATCTGCCCCCAAAATATTTATTTCGCCAAGGGTTATCGACTCCCTGGGGGTTTATAGTGCCCCCAAAATATTTTGCTCGCCATGGGTCATCGACTCTCTGGGCGCTCCACCAAATCGCTTGATAGTTCCACCTCGCTTAACCAAATAGCGCGAGCTCTTCAATACCCCTACCAAATCGCGCTCGCTATCAAACGGATAAATAAAAAATATTATTTTTCCACGCCATGCCAACAACAACGATATACTCTCGACACGATCCGGTACCCTTTTCAACGTGGCTCCCACATCCTCTCGAGAGTGGGGGGCTTGCGAGACAACTCCCACGAGGAGCCAACTCGCGCAGTAATACAACCTGCAGCGAGACAACTCCCACGAGGAGACAACTCGCTCGGTCCTACAACCCCTTACAAGGAAACTCCCACGAGGAGCCAACTCGCGCAGTAATACAACCCGCAGCGAGACAACTCCCACGAGGAGACAACTCGCTCGGTCCTACAACCCCTTACAAGGAAACTCCCACGAGGAGCCAACCCCCTCGGGTCTCAAAACCACAGCGAGATAACTCCCACGATGAGACCATTCGCTTCGTCCTATAGCCCGTTGCGGGACAACTCCCACGAGGAGCTAACCCCCTCTAGTCTCAAAACTACAGCAAGATAACTCCCACGAGGAGTCCACTCGCTCAATCCTACAACCCGTTGCGAGGCAATTCCCACGAGGAGCCAACTCCCTCGGATCTCAACACCACAGCGAGACAACTCCCACGAGGAGACCACTCGCTCCGTCCTATAACCCGTTGCGAGGCAACTCCCACGAGGAGCCAACTCCCTCGGGTCTACGAAACCACAGCGAGACAACTCCCACGAGGAGCCAACTCGCTCGACACTACAAATTCGTTGCAAGACAACTCCCACGTGCAACCACCTCACTCGATAAATATTACTCACCGCGAGATAACTCCCATGAGGAGACAACTCGCCCGAAATTCACTATATAATCACAAGCTCAAGTTAGCACGATTACAACCCTAGAAGCAATTAGAGACATTATGAGAATCTATATAGCCTGGCCAGCTTGATTACTCAAATTTATCTACTTGTTTTCGATGGGTCATTCATTAAAACGTGGCCACGGTCCAAACATACTTAAGACCCACGAGGTCTAACAAGGGGCACGACCCCCATAAAAAAAATCTTGAGAGTCCGATCCCCTCCTCAAGTACATCACGCACAAGGCTATATGTAAACACATATAAGCAACGCGTCAAAACATTGACAATGTCGAAAAATAACAACTCCCACGAGGAGAATACTAGCTCCGTGCTACTACATTATCGTGAGACAACTTTCACGAGGACGTAACTCGATCAACTCGATTACCCTAGAGACAACTTCCACGAGGACGTAACTCGATCAACTCGATTACCCCAGAGACAACTCCCACGAGGAGATTACTTGATCCGTGCTACTACATTATCGCGAGACAACTCCCACGAGGAGATAACTCGATCAACACTATTACCCCGCGACAAGACAACTCCCACGAGGAGATAATTCGCTACTACATCGTCGCGGGACAAAACCGACGACTCAATTAACTTACATCGCGACAACCTTGTCGCGCTATGCGCCAACGCGCATTCACGCCCCTCCGACACACGCTCCAACGCATTTTCGCATACCATTAGGCCATACGCCAACGATCGACTTCTACAATTTTTACTCTCGACACGATCTGAGACCCATCACAACATGGCCCCCACATCGACTCGAGAGTGGGGGGCTTAATGATATGCCTAATTGGGCCAACCCAATGGGCCTACAATTTCTTTACCTACTGGGCTACGAGCCCGATATCGAAGACTAATATCACCGAGGGCCAAACACCTTCAAGTAAGGCTTGGGCCCAACAAAGCAAACCCAACCCAATAAACGACATATAAATAGAGGTTTTACTCATTTTATTAAGGTACGTCTTATTAACTGAGCAATACTACAATACGTATTCTCTGGACTATTTCTACTATCAGCATGTCTGACTTGAGCGTCGGAGGGGTTTCCGCCGGATCAACCCCCGGCTTAGTTCATGTGTGCTCATTTTGCAGGGACCTCAGGATCATCAAGTTGGCAAGCTACTGATCTGCTTTGCTCTCCCAGCTCATTTTCTACACCACCCTAGGTGAGCTATATTTTAGCATCATCAAAATTAGTTAATTTCTATAATGGATTGGGTCAATGTAGAATGATGATTAATTTCTATAATGGATTGGGTCAATGTAGAAAGAGGAAAATTCTTCTATCTTGATGGGATAGAGTTGGAAGATTTGATGTTACACACAATAAAACATGTCTGCATAATTTTTTACTGTTAATCTGCAGTATATAATTATACACATTTATGTGTATATTTGTGCTTATGGCAATAATCTGGTGTTCATTTGTAAATCACTTAAAATATATAATCTGGTGTAACATCCAATTTTACAAGAAAGTGTGAAACTTTTAATCCTACAAAAATAGTAAAGACTAATGATAAATCTTTTTTCTTAAAATGGTTGACCACGACTTTTGAACACTTGCACAAGTTTAATTGTTCTAAATTTTCGGGCAACATCTTCTCATAATTCATAATTAAATTCCAATTTGTAGTTTTATACTTATATTTTATATGAAAAAAGATTAAAAACAAAACGAAAATTAAACTAATATATATATATATATATATATATATATATATATATATAATGAAAAGCTCTCTTTCATATTTTACAATTTACAAAGCAGCTCAAGCTTGGTTAATTCTCCAATTAATTACTTGAAATTAAAACATATCCAAAATCGAAAATAAAAATTAAAAAAAATTACAAAACATAAACCAATTAATTTTACTCATGTATAAAAATATTTATTTTACCGCGAACCAGAACCAGAACCAGAACCGGATCCGGAACCAGGTGGCTGTAATTGATACTGCTGATACAAAGCCGCCATCCGGCTGTACGCGTCCATCGTCATTGGCTGCACCCAAATAAATATATAGTTAAATCGACATTTAAATTAATTTAATTATTTATTCAACCAAATAATAAAACACATTTTAATTTTTTTAACTTACTTGGGATTGGCACGCAAGAAATGCCGATAAAGGGTCCGCCGGCGGCAAACAGTCGCCGGGGTTACGACTATCCCAGGGCTTGTTGAATGCGGCAGAGGGATGAATGACAGGCGGCATTCCGGCGGCGGCAGCGGCCGCCGCCGCTAGGGTGATGGCGTTGATATCCATGACATTGACACCCATCCCCATACCCATGCCCATCCCCATACCCATCATAGACAACTGATGAAGCTGCTGCTGCTGATGCTGCATTGCTAATGGCAGCATCATTGGTGACGTCATGTTCATCCTGCTCATTATACTCAGTTGACCTTGCAGCTGTTTTAAGTGCTCTATTACTTCATCCAGCATTGACGCTTTATCACTCTGCATGCACAATAATTACCGTTTTCTAATTAGCTTTAAGGTCCATGTAGCGTAGTTAATTACAGTTACATCCCTAAAATATTGTCAGAAATCCTAACGGACTATTAGTTTTAGGCAGTACTGGTGGAAACGACATAGAGTTAGTGGGTCACATAACTTTCGTAATTAACAATTCTTAAATCCTTATTATTTTATAGAAGAATTTATAAATTTACAAATATAGTGCATATCGGTTCCCAGGACATGAAATATTGGCTTCGGCAAGTGTTTCAGGGGTATGGTTGTAATTAGCAATACTACATGGACTTTAAAGTTATTTTAGTATAACTCAGGGGTATAATTAAGTGTAATTTACCCTATATATATATTATTAATTTTCATTAAAAACTAAAATTGGCTACCAATTGGGAAAATAGGGAATTGACATGAATTGAAGATTATAGTATATGGGTGTGAACTAGGACCAATGGTGCACCAAAAAATATTGGACCACGTTACAGCACATAATATTAATATCAGTGTCTGCTAATTAACTTGTGATTTTCCTACGTGGAATTCTTTTATTGAGTTTAGGGATGTCAAATGAATAAAAAAAAACTTATTTGGGGGCCAAAAGTCAAAAGATGAGAGTTCAAAGCACCGAAAAAAATGTGTGCCTTAGTTTTCGTACCTTGCTGGAATTTGGGACCAACTTCTGCAATGTCTTCATCCTTTGATTAATCTTGTCTCTTCTTTTCTGATATATATACATAATAAATCAATTTGTTTAATTGACATCTATCTATCTATATACATATAAGTATATATATAATTGGATTAATTAATTTAATTTTGAAATAATATAAAGCAATAGAGAAGAATTAATTATGAGGAACGTACACGTTCGGACTGGTTATGAATTGCGGCAGCCCTATTTCTTTTAGTTGAAACTGATGATTCTCTGTTTCCTTTTCTTTTGCCCGTTTCTTCTTCCAACTTCCTCTGCAATTAATTTGTTAATTAATTAATTAATTTTTAAATTAATCAAAGATCAACTAAATTAATAATTACTTCATGACACGTCTGATGCGATATGCTGTGACAAACGGAGTCGTCACGGTCATCGGAGGTCCTCGTGTACTCCGGCGACGCCAGTGAAGTGGCGGACGTGAACCCACCGCCGAATTCTCTCTCCCAGGTATCCACCGTCAGCTGGCGGCTGCCGTCGCTGCCCCAGCACGTTGCGCTGCCGCTCACGCTCACGCTCCGATCATCGTCGTTTCTGCAGCTCCTCCTTTTGATTCCCGCGCGTGGGATGCCAGCGCCGCTGCACGATCCCACCATGCATGTGCCGCCGCCATTTCCGGCGACGGCGGGTCCCAGCGGCAACCGCATGGAGTGGCGTTCTTGATTCTCATGAGTGCTCCGGCGCAAATTCCCGTTGTTGCACGGCACGAGCGCGTCCATCGTCATGGTGACGGAGGCGTCGGCGTCTGTGCGGGCGGCGCCGGCGTGGTTGGCCACAGCGCGGTGGTGGTCGATCCAAGGTACCAGATCGTTGTCACAAACGTCGCCGCCCTCCGCAGCGGATTTGGGCAGCTGGGCATGGCCGGTGGCTTGGTTGACGATGGACTCAAGTGTTCCGCCGGCGCGTGGCTTATCCCACGTGGCGTATTTAGTGGGTGATGGAGAGGGGGTAGGTTTGTTAACCACGCGCGGCTGGCCCAATCCGTGCATGGCTAGCTGCCCATTTTCCCAGGTTAGCTCCGCCACTTCATAGTCCAACCTAATTAAAAAAAAAAATTAAAAAAAAAATTAAAAAAAATAAAATATTTCCCGTAAATAAAGAGCATAAATAAGCACAATTAATCAAGAAATCGAAAGAAGAGATCAATTACGAGGGAACGTGATTGGTTGAATTCGAATGCTCGTTAGCATGAAAATTAACCCTAGGCGGAACAAAGTTGTTGTCGTCGAAATCCCAGCTCGGTACACACTGATTCATTTTTCTTCGATTTTTCTTTTTTTTTTTTTTTCTCAAAACTATTGCAAGATATATATATATATATATATATATATATAATTTGTTGAGAGTCAATTATATATGTTTGCACAATTGGAGCAAAATATATGATATTAGTTATTGGGAAAAAAAAATAAAGAGGGAATATTATAATAAAACTTTATGTATGGATTCAATATATGTGGTATTGACTGAGGATTGAAATAATAATAGATAAGAAGAAGCATAAATTGAGAGACAATGCAATTAGTGCATGGTCCATGGGAGGAAAGTGAAAGGTGGTTTGTGATTGGGGGTTTGAAATTTGGGTTTATTCTTTGATAGAGATTGTGTGTGTGTGTGTGTGTGTGTGTGTGTGTGTGTGTGTGTGTGTGTGTGTGTGTGTGTGTGTGTGTGTTGGGGGGGTGGGGGGTTAATATGAAACTAAAAGTAATTAATATTCAATGATTATAGACCACAAGCCCATGCCAATTAAGCACAAATTTATTTAAAGTGTAACATGGCCATGGATAAGAGAACAAGTGTCCTATTGTGGTTAGTTAAAAATTATTTATTACTTTAGAATTGCAATGATACATTCACTGAACTTATTTGTCGAAGCGCGTGGAAAAAGAGTTAGCACTAATAACTACGATGTGATTTAGTGCAATTGGAGTTTGTATGAGAAAGTTGTGGTTTGAAATTCTATAATCAAACGTCTCTTCTTTTAATTAATCTTAGAGGATGTTTGACTAATCTTATAAGATATTTAAAAGTTTATAAGCTATGTTTAGTATATTTAATTTATAAACTCATTATTCAGACACTTTAAAAATTAGTTTAAAAATAAGATTAACAATTTATCGAATGTAAGATCTTATCATATATTTAAATTAAATTCAATCAAACATGCTCTTAGTATAGACTTAGTTAGAAGTACCATAAATTCAGTGCATAAATATTGGCACATGATTTGGAATAAAAACTCAAAATTAGACTTTGTTTTTTAATGTGCCTACGATTACACTTTTTATTTTTTAACGCACATATAAATTTTGCCGTCATGTGTGGTGTATAATACTTACTAATTATAGACGCATGATTGCAGATTTTGGAAGCACTTATATGCAGAATATTATTTAAAAGGTGTGTTTCTTTTTCTTTGTTCTTTTTTTAAATCAAATTGCCCTACCAATAGCTACAAAACTGTACCAAAATAGTTTTACAGAATAATTATCGTGTCATATTGTACCGTATATTTTGGTAGGACAATATTACTCAATAAATTTATTTTAAAAATATATATTGAATAGTCTGAATTAGGGATGAAAGTTTGATGGATCGGATCGAAACTAGCTAGGCTCTTTGGAAAATTTTGAAAAAAAAAATCAGAAGTACAAAGTCAATTCTGATCGATTCCAAAATTTTCAGAATCTAAAAATTTATAGGTGTATTTTTCAGAAAATAAGTATTATATAATATTTATTATTTATAGGTGTATTTTTGGGTGAAAAAAGTCGGAATTTTTCGAAATTAATTTTGAAATTAAATCGGATTGGAAATCAAAAATTCTAATTTATTATATATAATTTTAATTTCAATCCAAAAAGATTTGAAATATTTGGAAATCGGAGTTTCAGAGGTCGCATTAACAAATATCGTTAACAAATCGAAACTTTTCAGGCAAAATTTTGAAACTCCGTTCCCGCTGAATATTGGCGTTAGGGGTGAGAAAAAGGAACCGATGAACCGAGGAACCGAACCGAAAACCGAAAAAACCGAACCGAGTTGCACCGAACCGAAGTATACACCGCATACTCGGTTTTCAATTTTTTGTGAACCGAAAATTTCGGTTCGTACTCGGTTTTTCAAGTAGTAAACCGAACCGAGGAACCGAACCGATATATATATATATATATATTTTTTACTTGAATAAATTTCAATTGATTTTTGGGCCTACGTTTGGGCTTGTTTTTGGGCTGACTTTCGGGCGAAAATGAGCTCAAAATCGAACCGAAAACCGAACCATTATTGAAACCAAACCCAGAATTTTATGAACCGAAAAGGAACCGAAACCGAACCGAAACCGAACCGAAACCGAGAAAGAACCGAACCGCAAGAACCGATCGGTTTGGTTTTTGGTTCCTTAGGAACCGAACACTTCGGTTCCGGTTCCGGTTTGTGGCTAAAACCGAACCGAACCGAACCGTTCTCACCCCTAATTGGCGTATCGAAATTTTGGTATAAGAATTTTATAATAATAAAATTCGGCCGGCGGGGTAATATCTCTGCCGCATAGTCAAGAGGCGTTAAGTGGACTGCGCGTCGGGAACCGAAACTTTGGACTGGAGCCGTGACGCAGTGACCTGGACACGCGTCGACTCCTTGTGCACATTGAAGCTGCATCGGACACGGTGGTGTTGGGAACTCAGCGTGTCTTCCTCACGCGCTGGGAGACAGCTGCCAAACCACGCTCCTTCTACCAGTGGTTTCACTGATATCAGTGTGCTGTTTATTGTTTAATTTAATACACACAATCTTGTTATGGAGATGAAAAAATGATGACACCAAAAGGAAAGAAATTTGATTGCGAATCTTAACTAAATTTTCGAATTTCGATCTAAATTATTTTTTTATATCTAAGTTATCTTTTATTATTATGGTGTTTGTCATCTTTTTTTTTTTTTTTTTTTTAATTTATATTGGAAATCGAATTATATTTAAAAATAAAATTATTGGAAATTCTAATTTTCGATCTCATTTTGTTAATTTCAATTTTCCCCACATACTCCCAGTAATTAAAAAAATCAATCAGTAAATATGTATCGAATTAAGAAATATCATATAACACTAAAATGTTTTTTATTTGATTTTATTAATTTCGATTGATTTAACATGCCATAATTCACCTATCTTGACCCACTGGAAATACATATAGGCCCACTTGGGTATAAAGGCCCGTTATCTGTATGGCAATGCTAATTGCCAAAGATTTTGGATATACATTACAATCTTGATAAATTATTTAAACAATAATTTATTTTGGTTCAAAAAAAAAATGTAATCAATTATTAGTTTAATAATTTAATATTTAGCTTAATAATAGAACCTTGTCGATTCTTAATATATTAATATATAGAAGTTTAACAGCATGATAAAAAATGTTTAAATATTTAATATTTCGTTGAATAATTGGACTTTGTTAGTTCATAATATATTAATTTATAAAGGTTTATCCTCACAAAGTCAATACGAACAAAGTTAGATATATTCTATAGAATATCTAATGACCAAAATACCCTTAGGACTATAATTGTAAGGTTTGTAAAACAATTGTAATTCTTTCACACAATCATATTTTTCAAAGTCCTTTTTCTTTTGATTTTTTCTTTATTGTTAACTATTCGTTTTTTTGTGTCAATAGATGTAAGGTTTTATATTGCATAGGAGGCCAAATGTAAGAAAATTAGAAAATTGAATTTATGAAGAAAAAAAATTGTCCTTGGTTTAATTATTTTGACAAATGGGTATTTTAGATAATTATTAGGTTTTGTTAGGATTTTTTATATCCCATTAATTTAGAAGGGTGTTCGTGTTATAGAAGAATTTTTTCGTAATTAGATATTACCACGAAAGGTTTGTGCAATTTGACCAAGAAATTATTGTTAGACCATACACACCCTAAAGTTTTTCCCCAAATCTACTTTTTGTATTTTACTAGATCGCCCCATCTTTTCTAGTTTTGAGGTTGTTGGTATTATTATGATAAAGCCACGTCACTCCATCAAGCAATTACCTACAGCCACGTTACCCGGACACATAGTTTTAGGTGACGTGGCAAGGTCTAATTGGTGGATGCACAAAGGAAACACCGTGTTCCTTGCCGCAGGAAAACCCGGCCCGAATTTGCTTCCTCATACAAACAGCAAAAACATTCGGCGCCCCACAAATCTCATCTGCTCAATCATTTCTAATTTTCACACAAAAATAAGGAAACGAAAATAAAATTAATTCAAAAAAATAATTCCCAATTTCTTTATACTCTCTCTCACACACAAACACACACAAAAAACGCAGAACTCTTCTTGAAGTTCACACACACAATATGTATATATATATATATATATATTGCTTTGAGGCTGAGATAAAACGGCGTCGTTAGGGGACCGGCGATGCATTAAATAATTTGTTAGGCTCAAAAAACAGAAACCCTAACTCAGAGAAATGTCTTATTCACCTGACAAAAGCCCCGTATTTGACCCGAGCAAGGCGGTGGTGAAGAACAAGCGGCGCGGCAGCTGGTCCGACCACTTCTCCGGCGACCGGGTCGAACCGAACGAGGCGTTGAAGCATTTCATGCTCAAAATGCGCCTCCAGTCCATTTCCAACTCCGGGTCAACAACTCCTCACTCCGGGTCCGAAGCCGAGTCCGATTCCTTCAGCCCTAACCCGGTTCCCGACTCCCCCGATTACTCCAGTTCGCTGTCCGACGAATTGTTGCTCAGAGTTTTCAGTACTATTCCGGATGCGAAACAGCACATTTCCAATTCGTTGGTCTGCAAGAGGTGGTCTTTGCTCTGCGGGAAGCTGATTCAATCGATTAGGTTATTGGAATGGGAGTTTCTCGAATCGGGGAGGTTAAGTTTTCGATTCCCTAATTTAATTGACATCAATATCGTGCCGGCTAGTATTAATTTCGAGAGGAATTCGTCGATTTTGTTGAGTAATAAGTTATTCGAAGTTCACTTGAATCCTGATGTATTGGAAAGTGATGGATTTTTCGTTAGGAAAGATGAGATATTGGATTCCAAAACAATCGTTCGCGGGGTCCGTGTATTAGCCGAGGGCTGCAGAAATTTGAGAAAAATAGCCTTAATGAATGTCAGCGAAGAAGGATTAAGTTTCTTGGCCGATGAGTGTGAGTTGCTGCAGGAAATGGAGCTGCATTACTGCGGTGATATGGCATTGAGGGGCATCTCCAAATTCCGTAATTTACAAATCTTGAAATTGATCGGGAGATTAAACGGGGTTTATGATTCGGTGGTTTCGGATATTGGAATGACAATGTTGGCACAAGGGTGCAGAAGATTGGTAAAGCTCGAGTTAGTGGGGTGTGAAGGGAGCTATGATGGGATTAAGGCGATTGGAATGTGTTGTCAGATGTTGGAAGAGTTGACTATTTGCAGTCATCGGATGGAAGTTGGTTGGCTATCGGGTTTGTCTTATTGTGGGAATTTGAAGACTTTGAGGATCGAATCTTGCAAGTGTATTGATGAAAATCCGGGACCGGATGAGTATTTAGGATCGTGTACAATGCTTGAAGAGCTGCATTTGAGGCGGTGTCAAATGCGGGGCAAAGAGGGTGTTAGGGCGTTGTTTTTAATTTGCCGGAGTATTAGGAAGCTTGTTGTTGAGGATTGTTGGGGGTTGGATAACAGTATGTTTGCTGCTGCAACTGTTTTTAGGTATGAACTGTGGTTTGAAGTTTGTGCTGTTAAGATAGTAGTCGTCAATATTGTAGGTACAGAAAAAAAAAAAAAAAACGAAGTATTTTGCTATATTTGCTAACTGAAGTTTTGAGAAAATATTGCAGTGTGCAGTCATTCACGCTGGCTATTGAAACTAGTTATATATCGATATCGGCCTGCATCAATAAGGAAAATAAAATTGCAATTAGCTCTTGTCTAGAAATCATCGCTCTTCCCTCCTTTAGTAGAAAATATTTTGCCATATGTGCACAGTTGTAGTCGTGTTAATACTTAATACCCTTTCTTAATTAAGCTGCTGTATTTGGAATTAGTTAAATTCTTGACAGTGTAATATAGGAAATATTGATGTTTAGTTCAATTTTGCCGAAAATTTACCTTCTCATCTTTTGAAATGGCATTACAATTTGCAAATCTTGATTTTTTTATACAAATTGAGGCATACAATTAGTTGAAGCTATTGGAAACAGTAGTCATCTGGCCCTCATGATCTTAAAATCACATGCATTGTATAATAAATAATGATTTATATTTAATCGAATCGTCTAATGAAAGGCGACTGTCGTTTGCATTTGCACAAATGTTGATGAACGCTGTTACTTATTTATTTTTTTTAATTTTTTTGTAGGAGTATAAGATCTCTATCGCTCGAAGGCTGCTCATTACTGACAACAGACGGATTAGAATCAATAGTTCTGTTTTGGAAAGATCTCGATAGGCTTAAAGTAATCTCGTGTAACAACATTAAAGACAGCGAAATAACACCCGAATTATCGACTTTATTTTCCGTTCTCAAAGAACTGAAGTGGCGGCCCGATTCCAAGTCACTGCTATCAGCTAGTCTTGAAGGTACAGGAATCGGACAAAAAGGTGGTCGATCTTTGAGGAGAAAGTAAGTGTAGGATATATTATGCTTTGTATCTCTTTTAGTTTTTTTTTTTTCTTTTGATAATTGTATCTCTCGTTTGTTAAGAGTGTAGTTTTTTTGTCCCGAAAATAGAGTTCACTCTTTTAATGTAGTTAAAGTAGTTCGTTTGGATACACGAAAAGTTGATATATTGCTCTCTCTTTTTTAGGTCTTTTTACTTGGAATAGAACTGATTTTACATTACACCTCATTACTTTGCAATTGTAACATAGTAAAGATGAGTATTCTCTCAGTTCCTTCGACTTCGACTGCTGATGCTTATTGTGATTTTAGACGACACTTTATCGTGCTAATTGGTTGGTTCGTGTCTAATCATTTTCGTTAACTGTAAACCAATTAATGACCCTGAAATTTTATTTTGTGAGCTGGGATCATCTTCATCTGTAATTTTAGATTTTTTTTTTTAACTGGTTAGAGACAAGTCAAAGTGAAGTGCATATTGGGACTTATTTGATGCATGGTTCGTTTAATTGTACAATTGGGCTATTTTGACTATCTCTATTTTGCAAACCAAGACGACGAGGTTAAGGGGTGGCGATTTATTCAACTTGGACCGGCTTTGATTCGGATCCATGCGGATTGGATACAAAAACAACCGAACCCGAAATGGATCGATTCGGATGGATCCACGTGGATCCATTGCATCTTTAGTTCAGTTTTTTTTTTTGATAAATGAGAGAGAATTATATTAATCAAAACAGAAAGGAAAAAAGTCTTCAAAGATGGCTTCTTTGGTCTTTGAATGGTTCCACTTTGAGATAAACCAAACATGGTGAATAAAAGGGCAATTTATAATATCTCAACTTAATATCTGAACTTATGAGGTTCAAAATTTATTATGCTCAACTTTCACACTTACACATATTTCTGCTCACACACATAGACACTACAACACTTTTGACACGCACACATATACACACACTCGACACAATTTTGACGTCCATACACTTATCCCAACACACTTTTCAACCCACATATACACAGTTATACACATTTTTGACACATACACTCCAATATACTTTTCAGCGATGCACTTTTGACACACACACACACCAATACACTTTTTAACGACGCACTTTTGACACACACATATTCACACTGTTGATGCGCACAAAATAATTACAGAACTGCCACTGGTGGAGGAGGGGAAGTATGGGATTGTGGTGGTGGAGTGGAAGATGCGGAAATTGGGAAGTTTTAAGATTTAATGTGAACTTGAAAACCGAATTTGTCAACTTGGTCCGGTTCAATTCATTTCTAACTAGGTCCGATGTGAACTGAATTTGTTGGATCCATGGAATTGGATCCAAATTACCGGCCCTACCTAAAAAGAAAATATGAAAATATATATATATATTTTTTTTTTTTTGAAATTATATATGAAAATATTGAATATGTAACTAAATTCATCAAGACTATATTACTAAAAAAAATTAAATTAAAAATTCATATACCCGTAAAAAAAATATATCAATTAACTCTATTGAAAGTTTAAACGAAATCAAGAAATTAGTAATTGTTTTATTTTATAGCAACAATTGAAAAGACAATGTCAAACTTCAAAATAATATTAATATATTTATTATTATGGACTGAAACTGAAATCAAAAATAATTTTCTTGTTACAATTCTAAAATATCGATCCAAATTGGCCGACCCAATTTCTTTCCGAGTCAGCCAATTACCTGCCTCATTGTACATACGTGGCGAACTGTCATTGGCTAGGACATGTGTTCATACGTATATAATATTTCTCCCTATATCGGGAAAAAGAAAAGGAAAACAAAAAAACATTGTGCAGTTTGTGATCGAGCGATCCGAAATTCAGAAAACCCTAGAGAGCAAATTCTTATCGAATTTCAAATCTCCAAAAGAAAGGTTAGCATCAAAATTTCTCCGCCTCTCTCTCTCTCTCTCTCTCGTTCGAACGAATCGTTTGTCCCTCTCAAAATTCGGATGAATTTCTGGATGTATATTTGCTTCTTCGCCACTGATTATTTTAATTTGTGATTTATGTTATTTTCTAATTTGTTTTAATTTTTGTTTAGATTTATTTTCGTCCGCCTGCACTGAAACTGTTTGTTGATTCTGATCGGAATCGTTAATGATTCGAATTTTTTATAGATTTTTTTTAGATCGAAATCATCGTAAATAACTTATTTAGTGTTATTTTTATTTATCGAATTTCGTATGATATTCTTAAATAATTTCTATATTTTTTTTAACTGTTTTCAAATGTTTTTTCGTCCGCCTGCAAAAACGGTTTTGATTCTGATCGGAATCGTGAGATCTGGACATTCATTTCCAGATGTGGATCGATTTTTCTTATTTTTTTGCTGAATAATGATGTAAATCTGTATTCTAATGGGTTATTAGTTGTTTTGTTTAATTTCTGTCGAATTATTGTTCGGCTTTTCTTTCTTCAGTTTCGTTCTAAAATAACTTTGTTGGGTTATGCATACTTGGATTGAAGTTTTAGCATGCAAACAGTGGATCGTGTTATTTACCTCCTTTCGTTAAGAATATGCAAATGTATATGTGTATGGTTTTATATGTGTGTGTGCTTGCTTAAATAAGGATATCATGTATTTGTGTGTTGAATCTTGGTTTGTTCTTAGGTATATATATATATGTGCTTCAATACTTTAGAATATCATGTATTTATTTGTTGAATTTTGGTTTGTTCTGACGCAATTCTTATAAAACATACTATGGGCGATTGTGAAGGCTCTTAAAATTACGAGGCTTGCCTAAAAATATTGGGCTAATAGGAAACATGTTCTTGTAGTTTAGATGTGTAGAGAAAAGAGTTCAATGCTTTTCTGTTAGTTCCGAGGGCATGTCCCTGGAGAACATTGTCCTACATATGGGTATCAAAATTACATCAATAACGTAAAATATTTTGACAATGGATTCCTAAAGTCGAAGATTTATGCTCATCAGGGACACGTGTACTCTCTTTGGTACCGTTTGTACCAATCAGGACATATTTTATTTTCTACTTGCTCTCCCTTTCGTAAATTTTTAAAGGAAGCGTCGTCTTATAATGTATTTGGTATTTGGCTTTTCCTTGTTGAAAGATGTTTCGATAGTGTAGTGGGAAATACTAGCTTCTTTTTTTCGAACTCTCTTCTTGATCTATTTCAGTTGTTCGTATTCTGTTCTCATTAGAACTTTCAAAGAATATGTTGCTTGTTGATTCTTGACAATATTATATGCATATGTTGTGTTGGTGCCTGAATCTTGAAACCTATATGGTGCAGAAATGGCAACAGGTGGAGCCGCTCCCCAGAGAGGAACTGCAGCAGCTGCTGCCGCTAATCTTCGCCGGAGAAGAACAGCTGGCGGAGGTGCCACCGGCGGGGCGAGTGGGACCATGCTCCAGTTCTACACAGACGATGCACCAGGACTTAAGATTTCTCCAAATGTTGTGCTCGTAATGAGCATTGGTTTCATAGCCTTTGTTGCGATACTTCATGTCATGGGTAAGCTCTACTTTGTCCGTAAAGAGTAAGACTCTAGTTACTTTTTGTCTTGGCGAATTATTAAAAGAAAAAAAGGATATTAGTCGGGTTGGATGCTTTTACGGAGAAGGTTTTATTTGTAGTAATCGAGCAGAAAGAAAGCAGGTCCTTATGAGTTTTTGTAGCTGTAAAATGAGGACTACAGAGAATTGACAATTGCTCAAGTTATTTTTATTTTGGTGAATTTTCAATGTGTCTTTTCATGCTCTTGAATACTTTGATATTTTATTTGTATGCTGCTTGGAAATGTTAGTAATGCTATTCTTCATATTATTGCATGAAAGTTGTGTGATAGTATATAGGTTTTTATTCATTTAGCATAATTAATAAATTCAAAAATTTATAGAAACAACTTTTAGATGAAGTATTTATAATTATTTGTGAATAACATTGTCTGTATTGTTTGTTTGAAGGTTTAGAAACACTAAAAAATTATTTACATTGTTGGATATCTATTAATGGAAAACATGTGTTATGTAAGTGAGTTTTTGTGATTTAACTAGTTACATATTTATTAGAAGCATCGAAATTTAATATATTTATGAATAATTATTATTTATTAGAAGGGGTAATTGTGTGGTGCGGAAACAAATATCTTGTATATTATATTCAGATGACATATTTCGTGATTGTTCAATAATTAGTGAATCAATATTCAGATGACATAAATATCTTGTATATTATATTTGTGCGGAAACAAATATTTAAAAAAATAGTTGAACTTTCGAGGTATTTTTAGCAAAAAATGTGTGCTATATAGTATACTATTTTTTGTGATTTTGTTTGATTGTTCAAAGATTAGTAGAAAAGATATTCAGATGAACTATTTTTTAACTACTTATGAATAAACGTCTTCTATATTATGAATTTGATGGTAAAAACAAATTAAAAAATATTTGAACTTTCCAGCTATTTTTAGCAAAAAATGTGTCCTATAGCATACGTGTTCAAAAATCAGTGAAATCAAATTCATATGAACTAACTTTTGAATACACATATTTTATATTATATATTGAGCGTAAAAAAAATATTAAAACTTATTTCAATTCGAGCAATTGTTAGAAGAAAAACGTGTGCTATAGTATTCATTTTTTTGTGATTTCGCTTGATTATTCAACAATTAGTGAAACCATGTTCATATGAACTATTTATTGACAACTTATGAATAAACATATTTTATATTATATATGAAGAGTAAAAATAATATTTAAACTTATTTCAGTTCGAGTAATTCTTACAAAAAAACGTGTGCTATAGTATACATTTTTTTATGATTTCGCTTAATTGTTCAACAATTAGTGAAACCATATTCATATGAACTATTTCTTGACAACTTATGAATAAACATATTTTATATTATACATTGAGCGTAAAAATAATATTTAAAACTTATTTAAGTTCGAGCAATTTTTACAAAAAAAAAAAAAACGTGTGCATAGTATACAACTTTTTGTGATTTTGCTTGATTGTTCAACAATTAGTGAAACCATATTCATATGAACTATTTCTTGACAACTTATGAGTAGACATATTTTATATTATATATTGAGCATAAATATAATATTTAAAACTTACTTCAATTCAAGCAAAAAACATGTCCTAGTATACGATTTTTTGTGATTTTGCTCGGTTGTTCAAAAATTAGTAAAACAACATTCAGGTGAACTATTTCTCAACTATAGATGATTAAAATCATCTATATTAAATATTTACAAAATATTTCAACTTTCGAGCTACTTTTTGGCAAAAAACGTGTTTACTTTTTGTATATTGTATATTATTTATTATATATTTTAGCTTAAGAAATATAAAAAGCAATATTTGTGCGTTCAAGCAGGTTTTAAACGTGTGCGATTGTTTTCTGTGATTTTGTTTGATCAAAAAAAATTTATGCTATATAGTACAGGATTTTTTGTGATTTTGAATTTTTCAAAAATCAATAAATAAACATATTCAGATGAACTATTAATTAACTCGAGTGTTAAAAATAAGATGACAATTTCAACTATTTTTGGCAAATGAATTAAATTTGAAATAAACTATTTTCTTTATATTAATTATGAATAAACTGTAATATATTTATAAATGTAAAAGAATGATAAGAAAATATTTCAACTTCTCAGCTATAGCATAAGGTTTTTTTTGTGATTTTGCAGACTTTCGAAATCAATAAAAAAATTATATATGAACTATTTATTCACTAATTATGATAAACTTCTTCTAAATAATTTATTTGAGTGTTAAAAATATATTTGAAATAGATTTTTTGACTTAATTTCAGCAAAAAAGACGCACAGCAAGAATTTAACAAAGTTATTTAAGCCAGACATAGTCAAGTATTCACGTCACACAGAACGCGAAAAAGTTATCGAATAAGTTACATTCAGAATGCAATAAATATACAAAACAGTGAAAAATCAGCATTCACAATTTTAAGGGCAACTTACTAGTGCATATTGTCTGGCATTCCTCCAGAAACTACACTTTCATCAACAGGTTTTGGACCCCCACAAGACCTCGAAACCGACTCGAATAGCTTCTCAATCTCAGGTGCACATCTTGTGAACGTCTTACTCCAGAAGTTGTACCTTGGATACTGTTGTACATTACGCAAATATGTTAAGCAAAATAAAAAAAATAATAATAATGAGTTGCAGCCTATAAAGAAAAGACGATTTACGAAGCAAAAAAACATTACCTTGATGAGTTCAATAAAAGTAATCAAAAGACCCCAGGGATGAGGCCTATTAACGATAAGACGTTCCAATAGTACTCGAGTGATTTGCTCTTGAATCACTTCCTGCTTGAACAAAAACTTTTACAATGATTAGCTAATTTTCAAAAAAATAAAAAACAACACATAATTGAAGTTGCGATAGAATTACACGCACCTGATTCGATTCAGCAAAAAGGTAAAGAAGAATGAAAGAGAAGTAATGTGTGTGGTTGTTTGGGTATCGTAATTGGTTTGCAACAGCATTTAGAAATAGGTAGCGGCCCTCTGTGTCGAGATCCATTATCAAAGACTGGAAAATGTCCAACGCAGCACTCACCAAGAATGAACTCATACTAGCCATTGATTGTGAATGAGAAGGTGATCTTGCTTGTTGAATAGCCTACAAATTGATTCCCAAGTGAATTATTCAACTCCAAATGAAAAAACCATACATCATTTCGAAATTAGTATTTTAATTGATTTTACTATCGAGTTTTCAGCATGGAATCATATTATACCTGCATCCCAATATAAAGTACAAGGGAGTTAATTAGAGGAACATTGTAACGAGTTCCAGCACGAGCTGCATCAGCTGGAGAAAGCATAAGCTTTTGCTTCAACTCGGTGAGAAAAGTGGATCCTTGTTGCTTTGACTGTGGTACAGAAGCCAGATAAAAAAAACATGAGAATTATAGAGAACAAATGATCGTATTTTATCTTTTTTCGCCTCCAAAAGAAAATTATTTTGGTTTCTTTGATGTTTACCTTGAGATACTCATCGGTATCATTCTTCATCTGCCTAGCTTTAAGAGTTGCATCAACCTCGGAAAGGATTCTTGGTGATTGACTAATCTCCGCAAGCAGATCAATCTAAACCATCACATTATACATCAATCAGAATTTAAGCTTACAAGCCTAGGAAAAAATGCACAAAATTTTAGTTGCGTACAGAACCTTTAAATTCGGAGTAGAAGGATCTGGTAGCCTCATATTGCGAGGAAATGCACTAAGGATTATATTTCGCATCTGTATGCAGCTAGGAGGGATGACATCACAAAAACTGAAATGATAATCACAAAGGAACTCCGGAAAATCATGAAGTAGCACTAACAACACCCTGAGTGTCCCTTTGTAGAGAATGTGAACCTACAGATAGATCCCAAAAAAAAAAAAAAAAAAAAATAAGTATCATAAACATAGCAGACAGTACTGATTCAGAAACAAGGAAATTCTTCATAAAGTTGAATCACACCGGCTCGGCAAGTTCGGCATTTCTTAGGAATGGCTCCATGAACTGGAACAAGTCTACCAGCAATCTTTGAAAATAAGGCCAACCCTTCTGTGCATTTGTTGTGAGTAACTTTGGCATGAAACTTCTATGACTAATCAACTCAAGCCATGCAAAGCTGAAAGCAACGACACAAGTTAAAAATGCCAAAAAAAAAACCATGAGCTGTATTATTATGAAATTGAAAATATGCCGTAGCAAAACAACAAAAATTCCATTTCCGAATATGATCTATGGGAACCTACAGAAGTGCAAGTACACCACTTGAAAACAATTGCAAACTACATTCAGCATTATTTCCAACAAGAAATAATATTAGTATTTAAAATTGTGCACCTTCATAATTTGGAAATAAGTTAGACCGAGATAGGTATATCGATAAATATGTTTATGTATACTCACACATAAACCAGTAAATTTGTATACACACACATAAACAGATATGCCATGATTTCCTACCACACACATACCCCATGGGAGAAACTCTTGGCAAAATGTATTCATATAGTGGTCAAACATAGTAGTGAAACATCAAGCACAAACCTGAACCCTGCAACCTTGAGAGGCTGGAGATGATGGAAGGAACTTGCCAAAGCAGTCAATACCTGAAAATTGATTAACGGAAAAAAAAAGAAGAATATCAGAAAACCTCAAAGCAAGAATCTATATGGCCCATGATCTGAAGCAGAACGCAAAACAAAGAAACTAGCTACAGTAGAATTTGTGACCAAAATGGCAGGAAACCTGATAATTTGCACCATCAAATACTGGATCCAAGGAACATAAATCAAGCATCCAATTAATGAACAGCCTAAAATATGGCCTGGGATTAAAGGATGCCCTCTTCTCCTCAGCATCTTTTTGAATAACTCTCACAGTTACATTCAGAACCTGGAGAAACAACAGTGGAGTATATCAATACCCCAAAACATAACAAAAATTCTTGTATATTAAAAAGTGTAATTCAAACCTTGGGCAGAAGAGAGAGTTTATTGGACCCCTGATCTGAAGGGCAAAACTGAAAGTTTTTAAGAGAGAGGGTCAACACAAATAGTACGTAAAATCAAGATGATAAATATCGAAAGAGAGCAGAATATAAAAATTGAGATAGTAAATCATTAAAAAATAAATTTCAAAAAGGAAGTGTACCTTCAGAATAGAGAAAACTAGCTTTGCATAGCTATCAATAGCAAGAAACGAAAGTGACTGCCCTTGATGTGGCTGGGAAGAGCTAGAATTGATGACCTCGGTAGATAAACAGTGTGACACAGCAAGTTCCTGAAGTACCATGAACACTTTAGATTCTAGAGTCAAACATGTATAGTATGAAAAAGAGAGAAACTTCACCATGATCCTGCGGAAGAACCGGTCCGAGATTTCATCTCCTTTAAGCATGCCTCTCTGGTGTAAGTGTTGAACATAACGAGCACAAGCCACGTCATTATTTCCAGGAAATTCACATATTTTGAACCAGTCACTAAACAACGAAGACACCTACCGGACATAGTACAAACAAAAGGAAAATAAGAAAATATGATGGAAGAATGTAGAACCTATGCCCTTTCTCAAGTAAGAACTGTCCAGAAACTCAACCAGATATAACAGTGAATACCCAACAAAAGATGTTAGCGACACATCAAACAATTTGGATAGAAAACACAGCAAGTACTTTTGCTTAAAAATTCCTTTCCAGCATACACCTCCAAAGGTTTAAAGATATAATTTGAATGTTGCATGTGCTGTTAAAGAGATAGCACATAAGATGAGCGCGAACAAATTGTTTATGCATGGCAACCAGCTCTCTAAATGCAAAATCTCAACAATCAGCTGACCGTCCTTTTGATTTTTCGACTCAAACAACTTAGTGGCACATTTATATTCATCTTAACACCAAGCCAAATAATCAATAAACACTTCATTCTTAGTTGTTTCTATCAAGATTGTTTGCACTTGCAATCTTTTTATGTTCAAACAATTTATTGCCCCCTGTTTAACTCTTTATTAAACTCAAACAAACTCAATTAGAAGGTTCTTGCAACAATTAATGCTAATTAGATTAATTTACTGAGAATAGAAAGACTAAAAAATAAAAGGATAAATTAAAATACAAATTCATCAAGTAAAGGCGTGAGTGAGTTTATTTCATTCCATCTGCCAGAGGTCCCAATTAGAAAAGAAATTCAAGTTTCGAAAACCACGAAGAACCAAATAACAATTAGCACAAAGCAATATAATCGATAACATCACTAATAGCTTTGAAGATTAGAAAGTCAGGACAAATAACATTTCTCACAAGGTAGATGCACGGAAAGAGCACAAACTAGAGAAATTCAGTCGTAAAATGTGATATATTACAATGGGATTTATCAAGTGTATATATGCAAACAAACAATCAAGATCGCAAGCAGATCAGCACACACAAGATAGAGTGAGAGAGTTAGATCCCAAACTGTGCAGTTTTTCTGAGGCAGAACCTTTTATCGACCAAACCATTTAGAACAAACTAACTAATAAGCATATGGTGATGTTATATCATATTAATCTGCTAACATACAGAGATGGAAGATTAAGCGATATAATTTAAAGATAATAATAGCAGGAAGACTATGAAAGCAAGGACAAGAGATTTCCCACAAGGAACATGCATTTAAGTCTCTAGGATAATGGAGAATTGAAGAGATGAATTAAATTTAGCACCTGTCCAGGAAAACCAGCAGGGTCTGAATCCACCAATTCTGTGCTACTATAGTCCTCCCTAGTTCCAGAAAGCCCAATAGTCTGTTCCTGCACAAACTAAATCTCGGGTTTCAAACATTGATACAAACCTAAGAGAGAGAGAGAGAGAGAGAGAGAGAGAGAGAGAGAGAGAGAGAGAGAGAGAGAGAGAGAGAGAGAGAGAGAGAGAGAGAGAGAGAGAGAGAGAGAGAGAAACAAATTGGAGTCAGAGACCTTTTTGTCCCTAGAGATTCTTGTATTGTCCTCCTTCCCAACACCCACAGGAGATGGTACGGCAACACTGCCAGGGTTCTTAGCAAATTCAACTAGCTGTTGTAATGATTCAGGAGATCCAGGTCTTGCAGCGAGCTGAAATTATAACAGCAGTTAGAAACATGGATAAACAAATGGAGTATGCGAGACAAAATTGAGCAGGTCCATACCTTTGCCAGAGCATCGACAAGATTGTGTAGTTCTGAAATAACTTTAGAGTCATTCATAACCAGGGTTTGGATAAGAGAAATGGCAAATTCTGTTGCAGCCTCTGCACGTTATACACAAATAAATGTATTAATAACACCGACTCAACAAACTGAATCAGTAATTTGTGATACATACTATTTCTTCCTGCATCAAGAAGTTTCGCCATATGAACATTATATTCAGCAAGGTTTAATAGTTCACTGCAGATAAGACCAACAGTAATATCTTTATGGAACTTCCTATCCTCTTCAGAGTATATCACCTGTCAAAGATAAAACAAACATAAAGTAAACATTATATCCTTCTCGAATCACCAATGGATAAGCTCGTAAAGACAAGCGCAGAAAAAGACAAGTCATGAATGCATATTAAAATTGTACACGAGAATCTGATGCAGATGAATGCATGAATAAAGTAACAGTGTATAAACTGTAAATGAACACATCTTATCCAACAATAAAATGGAAAACATTTTTAGATGAACAGCATGAACCTAAACTTTCTTAGTCGCTAGCCCGTGTTTAATGAACCATAAAAGATAACTAGGACGAAAAGTCACAATCAAGAGAGCAACATATGAAAACCACCTTAAGTAAAAAAGGTCACTGTTAAGAGCTTACAAGATCTACAAATATCAATTTAGCATATTATGAAATCTAGTAGAACCGCAATGCAATGACTTCCCGAAAATCGCTATCTCGCAAACATATCTTGCAAGGTAGAACTTCAAATTTACACCTTAGTCATATTAGTTAAACATGAGAATTCTATCTTACAGATTCCAATCCAAATCCATCCAAAGCCGCAATGTAAGCAAATCGACCAGGTTCAAAGATAAAAGTCAAGGGTTAGTTAACCAATTAGCAGCTTCAGACTTCAGGACCCAAACTACCTTTATATAATTTAGAAAGCGAACCGCCACTATTAATCATCAAATAAAATGAGAACATAGTACTTTCAATTTGGCTAAACAAGCAAATGCAATCGACTGGTGTGTGGCCTTAATTCAGTAGCTGAACATACCCAACTGGTGAGCTCCTTAACTACAAGCTTGCTGACATCACGAATGGCAGCCAGGATTGCAAGGTGAGCATCAACATGAGCATTGTTTGATGCATTTTCATATAAACCCCTAAATGCCTGCAGCATCAAATGAAGGTTAAAAGACTTATTAAAGGTCGACAGTCGAACAATATCTGGAATAATCCTCACCTTCTGAGCCACAGCCAAGGCAGCCTCATCTCGGCTAATGCACCTGAGGATGACTGCAGGAACCTCAGCAATAACTCCCTACAATAGACAATATTGACAGTAAGATATAGAAACCTGAGGCCTTCACCGAATAAAAAATTTATTCGAAAATCTTTAAAACACAGACATGACAACTGAAAGCAAATAGTGAAGTAAGTTTGCGATTATGTGATGTAATCTGTACCTGAATTTCAGCCTCCTTAGCATCACTAGCCAACAGATTTTCAAGCTGACAAAGGTTGAACAAGGAATTTGTTTATAGACCAAGATAAAGCATATTAATCTCAACCACATTACTTAGAGAATTGGTAAGCAATTGAATGCCATGAAACCATTTGAAACACATATACTAGGAGAAGAAATCAAGAAATACAGATATTAAAAAGACCTTCTCTGAAATAGTCTGGTATTTATCCAGTGCATCGCCTGTGGTTATTGAAGGGTCCAATACATTACTTGTAGCACGCTCAGAAGCCAAAGCTGTATTAATAGACTGTGCAACAGTTCCAGATTCCTGCAGTGATGACTCCACATCAATACATATACATTCAAGAATACTGCACTTCCATTATCATACAGAAGATACTCACTTTGATAGAACTAGAAGGTTCCGTTAGTTGCAGATCAGGAGTCGAAGCAGGAGGAAATGAAGCAACATTATCACTTTCAAGACTTTCTGGACCATCACCAATCGCAGTGTGGGTTGATGAAAGACTGAAATATAACCACCATTTATTGCATTTGAAGTGGAGAGTAAATAAGGTACGTTGTGAATAAAGAGAAATAACAAGGAGAATCAAAGAAAACAGAAACCTAGGAGACCTGGTAGGATTCTGGGCTCCAACAGAATCTATCTCGTCAGAACTAATTTCCAGCGTCTGCGGAACAGCACCGAGTCCAGTATTTACAAGGCCAGATGAGTAAGTGTTTGTGCTTATTTGGCCAGATGCAGATGCAGATGCAAATTGCCGTGACAATCCACCAGTGCCAGAAGAAGCAGAAGGGCCGACGGGCACAGTGGTTGAGCTAGGAACAGAGCGATTCTGCCCAGGAAACCGGGCAAAATCCTGAAAAGAATACGACAAGAATGAGATACCAAGAACTACCATATCAATCAAAGTGAAAAATGTTTCACAGATGAATCCATCAAAAGAACTAGAGATTGGATTGATGATGAAATAGAATTTTGGTCGCAAACAGCGATTCGCTTCATGACGAAGAAAGAGAATTCTTGGTATCAACCTCATAAACTCGCTGCTGTAAATGTGTCAGGTGCCCAGGTTTGGGACGAAGGGCCTCTGGCATCATCACACCTGCTTGACCAAGTGCATGCAAGTTGGCATCAAAAAATGCAGAACCAACACTCTCTCTATGTTTTCTCCTGGTAGAGAGTTGCTGTGCAACTTCTCCATCAATGATTTGAATTCCCTACAAACAACATTACAATGCAGAGACAACAGCACAAAATAATAATGAGCTCCATGTCCCAGTAACAACTAACTTAAAAGAAATCTTGACAGTACAAAATGTATATCGATGTTTTGCTTTAATTATTGATATATTTAGTCAATATAAATCAAAAACCAAGAAAATGGACCTCACAGTTTTTAAACTTACAATGTGAGAAGGAAATTTTAAACGGAAACAGTGTTACAGACCTAAGAGTGTAGTTCTATCACCATAGAGATAAACTAAGTGACAAAAACTGCATCATCAATCGTCCTATTTATGAATTATTAACTATAGAGCGAGAAAGAAAACAACCAATGTGTGACAGCTCCATACAGAAAGCGGTCTGAATCAAACCACTAAATATTATCCTACATATTACAGCATCAGCTCTGCTCCTGATTTTGCAGAATCAAACTTAAATAGAACACTTACAGAAAAGAACTTGATGTTTGGCATCTCTGGCACCCATCTGCCACAGTATAGACCGCAGGATAAAAAATAGAAAAACCTACCTTCTTGCTAGTAAACATGTATATGTTTGCAACTGTTTATACGCCGAAATTTCCACTTGAAAAACAATATTATGTAATATTTAGATAATTAAAATGTTCTACCATTTCAAAATAGATAGAGAATTTGATGTATTTGAGAGGTCACAGCAAATCCAGATGGGCATGGTACAGAAGACAAATTGAAAAGGTTTCGCATGAGAGTCGCTCTAAACTAGTACAATGTAATGGTTAATCATTCTTTTTTGTGGAAAATTACTCGCTTCGAATGACACTAGCTATAAGACAGATTCAGATGAAACATGGAATCACAGTAATATTTTGAACTTCATAATTCTATCCACGTACCTTCTCAGTTGCAGCTTGTTCAATCAAGACACAGCCAAGATCCAGATTGTCATTAGTCGCAATTTGAACTGCTTGTTCAAGATATTCACTTGTCATGCTTAAGCCCTGAAGTGAGTTCCTAAGCTGAACCGTTATTGCAGCACGCAAAGGTTCCTGAAAATGACAGAATACTCCGTAATAAGACAGGTAATACTTATATATATAATTCAAGAAAATAATGAACAAATGTGACTGCACCATGCAAGAAAAAAGTTATATCTACCTTGCAGGTAACATGAGCTAGACTCCCGGCCAGCCTCGCAACCATCAAATGTCCACAATTACGAATAATGGTCTCATCTGATTCCATGGCATAATCCTACCATTTAAAAAAAAATAACTCCCTTTTTAGATAACGTTTATTCTAAGCAAATAATTAGTGAAACGGCGGTAGGTATCAACTTGCAGCGTCAAAAGATTGAGCAAAACAAACCTTCAGAACAATTTCCTTAGTTGTCTGAGTTGCAATAGAAACACTCCGTTGCACAATACTGGGCACTACCTCTTTAACAGCTCTTTCCATAGCAATTGGAAGCACACTGAACAAAGAGTACACCAAAATAAATCAACACTAAAATCTTATGAAACTGCACATTATACATCACCATTTATTAATTCAAACCTCTGGAAATGCAAGTATAGCCCAAAAGCCTGAAGCTTTGGATTAACAACAACTTGTTGTTCAATATTAGATGCTGGCACAGGAAGCTGCAAACATAACCAAATGACAGACTAGAAATCAATATTTACCCCACACAACGGGAGCTAACACAAATTAGAACGTGAAGGACCTGATTAACTGGAAATTGTGTCTGTCCTTGTAGAAGACTTTGAGCCGATGGAAGCTGGTCAGAAAATCCCAAGCTCACCAACTTATCATCCTCTGTCAACGTTCCAGATGAATGATGAAGAGGCGTGCCATACTGATCCAAACCACAATAATCAACCTCAAAACGTATAAAAAAAACCTGAAAACGTTTAGTAAATAAAGAGGTGCTGAAACACTAACCTGTGACGTTATTCGTGAATGGCCACCAAGATGGGAGGGAGCAGCAACATCAAGGGGTGCCTCTAATTGGTTTAGTGTGGACATTATTCCAGGCTTGACCTCATTTATTGTTGGTGGCTGCGAAGATACAACATCTTTAGTCGAGAAATCAGGATTACCTTCAACTTCTCGGACCCTATCCTTCAGAAGAGAAGTTGGTTTTACTTCCTTAAGCTCAACAAGAAGGTTCTTGAACAGGACCTGAAAGGAAAACAGAAGTTGAGTATAAAGAATCTCACATTTTCAGTAACTCCCTCAGTTAAAAAAAGAAGTAGATCTATGCGCACAGAATTACCTCAATCTCAAATTTCAGGTTCATTTTCAAATTTGGCATTGCATAAATCTCAGCAAGCAATCCAAGAATACCCATGGTCCATGGGTTAGGAGGTTGATATACAAGACTGTTGGAACATGGTTCCAGAATCTGGAACAAGCAGACCATGTGAAAAAAAATATTTATATATAATAGCATCTTCTAAAGTGAACAAAAACAACACAGTATCACACCTTAGAGGTAAAAGGAATAACAGCTATCATGAGTCCCTTATTATATGCCTGCAAAAACATCGAAAGGAATGTAATGAACAGGATTCAGCCACACAGGAATGAGTTCTGCAACGACCGGAAAATAGAAATAGAACATGGACCTCTATAATCAGAGACTTGGGATCTATCTCCCGTGCCCTTAAAACTTGATTTCTGCCAATTGTAATCTTCCCCAGCCAGCTTCCTAGATTTTTTAGCAAAGATCTTTCTTCCACGCTGGACTTTATAAGTTCCGACCCCAAGAGAACCTGAAAAGCATTATGGAGCCAAGTATAAATACCAATGATTGAAACGATTTATGGAGCCAAGTATAAAGACGAACGATTTTGAAAGGATAAAGTAGATGGGGTAATCAAAACCTTGCAGTTCTCATATGTGGCTTGAACAATTTCTTTGTTCAAAGGCTTCAAATTTACTTTATCAAGGAACTTCAAATATAAATCATGAAAATTTGTCTCGATGCTAGCCCTGTCAAAACGGTTATAAGGTATTTAAAAACATCAAGATTAAATAGCTGGTAAATAAAATCCAGACACAATTGTGGCACATCCGTTGATGGAAAAGATAAGGGGTAGATTTATCACCTTTTCATAACCATATACTGAGCAAACCAGGGGTAATATTGCTCACTCAGAAATTCAGTAAATTCTTTAGCTTTAGCCTCAACATTTGCAGCGGACAAGTTATTAATAATAAAAGAAATCTTATCCTGGATTTCTGATGCAGGAGCCTGTTCAAATAAGAACGAGACGAGAAAATAGTCAGACGTCGAACGGAATAAATTATTCAGCACCATTAGAGACAAATATAGCGAGTCGTCGACTGCACCAAGAAGGTTCGACTATAAAAGTTTGATTTGACAAAAATTAGTGTAGCAAAAGTTAGTTTATGATATAATGTCAGGGCAAACAGACAAAGAAAAGCTCCACTCAATATTTCTTTGACAGAGCGCATATTCCAAATCTCCACACTAAGGAAACACAAGTGTGTGCTGTTGATCTAATGTAAGACTCTAAATACCTCGTACTTATGCACTTACAGTATTCAAGTCTAATGGTCTTGCATCAATACTTTTACTGAAAGTATAATGTGAAAAAAGATTTCCTATTTCTCTAGGCTGATCAAAAGGAAAAGGATGAGCAGTTGATTCCGGTTACAGGAAGTATCACCATTTATGTAAGTGCTACTAAAGGTTCGCAGCTTCGGGAGTAACCACAAACCTGTCTTTTGCTTCTGGTGCATTTGGCTTTAGAACAATACACATGCAGATAATGGATAATGAATTTTATAACATCATTACACTTTTGAAACACAAGCATTTGGTCACAAACAAAACTCAGATGACAGAGACTCAGTCAAGCACCTCAAATGATCTATTGGTTTCTCAAAAAGATCAATGAATATGCAAAATTACCAAACGAATACAAGCCGCAAGACAGAGAAAAATAAAAGCGGAAAAATGAAGTATATCAATTTGGTTGGATTTGAATTCAGAATCAAACATCTTTTAAACTAGTTTCTCTTAAACAAATCGCATCTAGGTAGCAAAAAAGTATGATCAGAACTTGGGAATCATTCAACACGTGTAGATTCGTAAACAAGCATTAAATTGCACGACACGCCTAGAAAAAGTGAGGCGAGGCGAGAAAAAACAGATAAAATGTCTTAAAAGAGCTCAGAACAAGCACCTCTATGGGAGTTTCTCTTCTTTCAGCTGCAGCAACAAGTGTTTCAATGTTTAAAGCAGAGCCAAACCCTACAACGTGGACAAACAAATGATGAAATCTACATTCATGATCAAGACACAGAGCACATAATCATCACAATTAGGGAAAGAAAATGGAATGCTCGAAGTTGAAGAAAATACTTGCTGATGAAGCTCGAGACGAACGGGGAAAACCAGGAGAGGCAGAGTGTATTGATGGAACACCAACTCCACTGTGTGACTGTAATTTGGCTTTGACTAGATTAGCTCCATGAAAGGATCACAAAAGAGGTACGAAAAACTAGACTCTAAGTGCCAAGTACTTGTGAATATATTAATTTTATAACTTGCCTTCTGAATGCTTCCCGTATCACTTGAAGGACCCATAGCAGGCTGTCCAGAAGTGGAATGCGCTGGCTTTAAGTAATTAGACACGGTTACAGAAGTTTTCCTCTCATCTAGAGAACTCATTGGTCTTTGAGAAAGTTGAATAGGAGATGAGACTTGCAGCCCAGCCTGCGAGCTACCAGGTCCAATCAGAGGAAATGACGAGCCCGCAATCTGAAAACAAAACAAGGATTAATGGCTCGGAACCAACAAATCTTAGCAAGCTTCAATATAAAGTAGGCAAATTAACTTGCACAACTCAAAAGAAGTCAATGCAACGTTGTTTCATCACTAAAAGCAAATTCAAGATGCTATACAAGACCTATAACAAATATTTTAATCCTTTCAGTTGTGTATTATCATTTACTCAAATCAACATAATGAATTGCAGAACTAATGTTGACAGCTTTTCATTGGAACATAAAGCTTTTTCCAGTGATGGAGAAGGATATGTATACAACAAAAACTTCATGCTAGAAGCACAAAAACTAAGTTTACAGCACAACGAGTTGGCCTATGAACTCAAATTAAATATGTCTACACCAATTCAATAGGAAGTTTGAATGGCAAGAGTTAACTAATAAGCTCCCAGATGGAATTATGAGAGATGGAGTTTTGACAAAACAGAAGTCAAGAAAGATGGAAGGTTCACCAATGAGTGGACACTGAAACTTGAACCCATACCAAGAGCACCTTGCAACCTAGATAGCTTTTCAGTTGGCAACTAAACAATATGCAGTAATCGAAACAAAGTTTGAACAACAAACAGACACTGAATCACATTGCTGAGTTCAAAAAACTGCAAGTCTAAAACAAAGATAAACCAAAGATCTCGCAATGGCTAATTGTTGTATCAAACATAGTCTTTAAAGATGAAATTTTTATCTAAAACTATCAAAAGGAACAACAAAATAATAATTTCATTAATGCAACTCCAGTAAATTAATCGTTGTTTGTTGGAAATACAACTATAACTATCAAAAAATGGGCAAATATTCCAAAGAAAAAGAGGAGTATGTTGCCAATATGATGGATGTAAATGTTCAGTCACAAAATCAATTCAACAAGTAAGAGGCCTTCAGATTAAACATTTAATTGTTAAGGTAAATGCCATAATAATGGGATCACAGCATTTAATCTTAAAGGCAAATGACATAACAATGGAATCATCCTATTTAAAAACTTCATAACTAAAAGAATTTTAGTGACGAAGGCAAAGATTAACATCATGTTATAGTTTACAAAACATAAAGGACCAACAAGTGTAAAGGATGTGCATGTAAATGCAATATGTTGAGATCAGCTACCTCAATATTCCTTCTGATCCCAGATTTGAAGATTTGTTAAGGGTAAATTACACCCACACCCCTGAGGTATGCTTAAATAACTGTAAGGTCCCTGTGGTATCGATAATTACACTCACCCCCTGAAAGGTAGTTAAAAACTCTAACGGGATAATGCATTGGATACATTATTCCGATAGGGTTCTAATGGACTATTACTTTTAGCTAGTTGTGGAAATAACATAGAGTTATGGGGAGTTATGTGGTGACATGGCTCCCCCAATATTTTTTAAATCACCCATAACTCTTTGTTGTCTTCACCACTTCCTGAAACCAATAGTCCGTTAGAACTCTATCGTAATAACGTATCCAATGCATTATACCATTGGAGTTTATAACTACGTCTCAAGGGGGTGAGTGTAATTATCGATACCACAGGGACCTTAAGTTATTTAAGTATACCTCAGGGGTGTGGGTGTAATTTACCCATTTGTTAATGCCAATAGTTTGTTTGTTTTAACAAATTGTCCAAAAGCAGATTAACTAGGCAAACCAAAATAATGAATCTAGTTCTAGTAATTATATGGTAAGAAACATTTTAGTTTCAGAAGAATACCAAAATTATGTCATCATGAAACCTTCCCAACTAGATATTAATGGTGTTCTACACACTCTCATTCCATAAACATTATATTACCTCCACATTCGTAGCAGTAGATTGGATGAGACCCTGATGGTGATCAGACGTGACACTATGGAACACATCTGGCTCAGCATGAGTCCCTGAAATCCTGTTAAGCGTCACCTCAATAAATGCAATGAGTTCCGAATGTGTACCACGCATATGAGATATTTGTAATATATGATTGCAGTACTGCGGCCACTCTATGAGGCGGTCCATAAACTGCTCCAATGCCTTAGTCCCAAAGGAGAACATCTGCATGTTGTAAAGTTTGGGTCAAAACAAGGAAAACGATTCAAACTGAAAGATACGTGATCTGGGGAAAAAACACAAACTTTTGATTCAGCAGGTTTCCTCAAAGCGTCTAAAACAGCTCGTAAAGCAATACCAAGTGTGAGATGAGTCACAAGTTGATGCTTGATGAGTGATCCTGAAAGCAATAACATAAACTGCTACATAAATAATCAAGGGGGAAAATAAGAGAACTATGATATACAAAACTTCTTTAACAAAAGCAATTAGCAGAGTGTAAAATTATGCAAGCCAAAATAATGATAACTAGATTAAATTTATTGAACAAAAGCATATAGCAGAGTGACAGATCTGTAAAATTAGGCAAGCCAAAATAATGATAACTACATTAAATTTATTCCTCTGCAGCCATCAAAGTTGCATAAGAAAGGTTCATCAAACCACATCACTCAATTAGACAACCGATCATCATATGAGCTCAATTCAAAGGTTGATATGACATTCATTACCAGTTAAAACAGCATTTGATAACTGTAACCCAAGAGAAAATTTGAATTAAGTAACTCTTATCCATCGAGTAAGTAGATTTATCATTCTTGACTTCCTCCTACTCTAGTCAGCCTGGACATATCCCTACCATTTGTAATTGTAGAACATCACCCAATGAGGCATTCTAAGCCCCAACTCACAATTAATCACTACAGAGCTTTCCTGAACTCTACCAATCTACCTAAACAGGATGTGCTGAAGGGGGGGATGATAATCTAGCTTCAGGTTGTCTTCCAGCTTTAGAAAAATAAAACAGAGACTTTGAAGTTCAAACGAAAAGAGGAAACCAGAATGATATATGTAACTTGACGAGTGATTGTAACTTTTAAAAGCATTTGCAGCCACACTCAACTGTGCATTAAACAGCACTCCGGTTATCAGGATAAGGTGATAAGTATAACGATCAGCACTTGAAAGTGAAATTTTCATGTAGTGATCAAACACAGGGAGGAAATAATTCAAACCTATGCATATTCCACGGTAAGAAAAAGTAACCAACGGAAAAAATAAAATAAAAGGCAACACGCCAATGCAACAATGACACAAGAAAATGGACAACAGTGACCCAATCTTTTCACTAGGAATACACTCCATACATGATATCTCCTAGATTAAAGGAAAATATAACATCAACATGCATCAGAAGATACACCAACCAGACCAGCCTGAGGGTTCAATCAGGCTGTACAGGGGTCACACCACAAAGATCATTCTACCCATTTTACAAACAGTGAGGTGCCAAAATAAGAGAAGAAGTAACCATACAAAAGAAAGCTATAATGTTTAGGCAAAATAATATCTTACCAAACAGAACTGCGGCAATCATGAGCTGCCTTTCAGGGTACTTGGAGAAAAACTTGTATTCCTCAAATAGATTAGCAATCATGCACTCGAAAATCGATTGTTCCCTGTCAAAATGCCCAAATCCCTCAACTGAGATCCCAAATATTAATTGTACATATGCTAGTGAGGCACCAAATTTATAACAACAGTCAACAGCATCAGTGAAGGCAAGTGTCTGGATTAAAAGAGCCACAAATCAATTCACCTTAAATGAAAATTGACGATACTCAAAGTGAACTTTTACCATTTACAAATAAGATGATGACGACTCTCTCTACAGGGTTTCTCACGTGACTTTAAGCAAATACTCCAGTGACATTTATTTTTCTTATCTACAACCCCATCTAAAAATGTAAAGTTTTGATACAGAAGTATAAAGTGAATATCATGAGATAAAGTTTACTACAGGCATCCAAAGATTCATAGATGGTTAACATAAATCCCAAAGAAGAATAGTGCCAATGAAGTTGATGTGTATTTCAATGGGATCAGCATATAAGTTCAGCAACATTGTGTGTCACTGAGAGCCAAGTTTATGTCGGAAAGAGGTGCTAACTTTGATTTAAACACGGAGACCAAACTTGGGAATACAAAGAGTTACCTCTTTTCGGAAGATTCTTTGAAGCGGTTAAGCATCTCTATCATAGAATCAATTGCCAGCTGACCAGAAAACATTTGATGGAAATATGAGTTTGCTTCTGTCTCAATGTCGTCAGCATAACTATCAGGAGTTGACTCAGAACCACCGCCGTTTCTAATCCTTGAATTGGCATGCATATGAGAAACATCTATTTTTTCCATTTCTTCAGACAAGGGACTGGAAGAAACCACGCCAGCATGAGACTGAAGGACCTGTATAACAGTCTTCAAAAGGTTAGAGGGGGAGCAATGACTTAGAGCTGAAAACCATCAGATATTTAAGTGCCATAGTAAAACCTTCGAAACAGTGGGACAAGCTTCCAAATAAGTACTCAAAAGAGCACCAGTGGGGTGAAAGCCATTAGCAGAAACATTCTCAGATCCAACACGAACATCCTTCAGAAACTTAAGGCATTCCTGTAAGCATAAGCAAAGCTTAATTTTGGAGATGTAAATGAGTGTCTGTAACTACGACAGATAGGCAGCCAAAATATGTAAACTGAAATACTTAAGTTAATGCTGGCAAATATTCTTACAGGATCTATAACACTTTCTTTATTTTTCTTATTTGAGGGGGGGGGGGGGCGGGGAGGTCAGAGGAAGAGAAAATGGTTTACCTCACAGAAAGCATCTTTATTTGTCACTAAATGAGTACTCAACCAATTCTCTAGGTCCAGGATTTCATTCTTAGAAGCAAGTACAGCTAAGCGAATGCCAAAGTAGAAAGGGATCGTATCCAGTACTGGAGATAAAATCTGTATTATATTAAGAAATTATATCAGTAAACAAAATTGGTGATTTATGATACTGAATTACTTTTCACTTGTAGATAGGAGAGCGTATTTAACAAACAAAGAAAATAAAAAGATAATACTGATAGAAACGCTAGGAAATATTAAGGTGTTATCAAGCCTTTATAAATATTGTCATATTAAAATGAATGGAGCTGTGCCAATTATCAAATTAAATACAAATAATCATACAACTGGTATTTTTAATATGACAAAAACCAACTAGGAAGTCATAGTAATAAATACAAATGATTACATAAAGCTTTTGTTTTTAACATAACTGAGACCGACCAGGAAGTCATCACAATGAGATTGTTTCAGAATTATGAGGCAGGTTAAAAACACTTTATGGATCTTTAGATATAAAAATATGCTTCGTCTTCAAAAAGATATCTCTGGGATTATTTGTAATTTATTTTAATAATCGTTTAACAATTAAAACGAATCTTTAAGTGTTAAAATATGGTTCATCTTACAAAAAGAATGCATCTAGGATCAACCGGAATTGATTTTAGCACAACTCATTTAACAATTAAAACAGTTGAGTTCTCTGTAAGAAGTCAGACCTTTAATTCCTGACAAGCTTCCAAAATCCTAGCAATGTTGTCTGGATCAAGGTTCATCGCATCTACAAGTCCTCGTAACAACATGCTTGGGTTAACATGCCACAGACTAAATATTAAACTGTTCCCAGAAGCCTTTTTTAGCGTCATGGGAAGAACAGCAGAAGCCACTTCATTTTGGATGAGATTATACGCAGTCTGCATGTCATATTATAAGGGTAAAGACCATGTGGAAAAGCATAATAAAGAATCGCAGATCTTATAATGCCAGTACCTTCACATGAGCCATGCCAAGAAGCAATACTTCAGGGCATTGGTTAATAGGTTTTTCAAGGATACATCGCACAAGACTTGCATGACCCCTCTCAGATAGTTGACACAGCACCTCCAGTAGGTCATGACAAAACCAGGCATGATTTACTTGCAAAGGTTGAAATGCATGTCCAGTAACAACATCGTCATAGGACTGCAGGTAAAACAGATGCTATGCTCATTTGTTATATCATGGCCTTAATAAACAAGCTAAACATGAAAAACTGTCAACATTTCAACAATAGTCGATCTAAAGAGAAAATATACCAGTTGCTTATCAGAATGAGCAAATGTAAATATTTCAGGTGGCACGGAGACTGCATACTTCAGAAACGAGAGTTGACCCTCGATATTCTTCCAAACAAAGCCACAAATAGCATGAAGAGGAAATGGATCCTGGATGACGGTTCGAGAGGAAGTTACTGACAGAAAATAGTATTGTTTGCTACTTCCTAACTAACACAAAAGAAGAGGTGTACCTTGCATGCATGTCTATAAACAGACATAAAGAAGGAAAATGCTGCCTCATTGGGGATATAAAAGCCCTCGTGATCCAGCTTCTCCATGACATTTATCCAGTTAATTCCCGGAGCCTGAAAGAAGATATTCAGTGCAAAAGCAATATAATGAATCAATACACACACACCTAACTAAAGGGGAAGGCATGCTGACGATGCTTTAATAAAGAAAGCAGATAGACCATAGAACTTACAAGCTGCTTGATTGATTCCACAAGGACATCAACATTCCAACCGTTCAAAGATGGTAGCTCAACACCATTACTGATACCAAGAGCAGAGCGGAATGTAGCAAACACATTTTGGCTGTCATCAAGACCCGCATAAGTTCTGGCAATTGTACCAAGTATCTTTGCAGTTGAGGCATCAGAAAGCGGTAAGAAAAGAGACAGCATTTCCTTGCATTGAGAGACATTGACAGTGCAACCATAACCTAATTCACTCATCACGTCAGCCATGCTAATCTCTTTCTCCATCTCTGCCAGAATGGCATCAAAATCATCTTCACCACCCTCATGGAATAAATCTAATTGCCTGCCGTAAATAAAAACATTCAAGGAAAAAAATGATAGTTTCCATGAACAGGTTTAGTCCATGGAATCAGTTATAAGAGAAATTATCTATTAGGAAAATACCTGAAAAAGTTGTCTTCGCGTATTTCATCAGGAAGAATAGGTGCTAAGATAAATTGGGAGCCATCCTTCAACTGCACTAGAGATAACATTTGCATGAAGGAATCTACATGCTTGAAGAGGCCCTCAGATTGACTAAGAAACATGAGAATATGCTGAATTAGCTCAGTGGACTTCAATGCCACAGGATTGGCACACAACTCTGCTATCTGACCCATGCAGAAATTCTTTCCTGCAATGATCCGACAAGAAACGTACAGGCCCAGATAAACAGCATTAAGATATTAAAAAGTTTTAATTGATCTTCGTATTCTGTTTTAAAAATTCAAAGCACCACTATGCAATCAGAAATACTAATCTTGTACATCAGGTCGTCAGGGAGAGAGAACTAACCACACATTCTAACATCATGGTTTTCTGAATCAGACAAAGCAAGACCGATTCCAATTTTCTCAGACACTGACAAGTGTAATGCACCAGACAAATTCTGCAGAAAATCTTCATTTATCGCGACAGTCCTCAGTGACTCAGTTAACAGTGTACTAAAATTAGGTTTATCCAAGATATGTTTGAATATTGAAGCATATAAGGGATGCAGCTTCGTAGTCTTCAAATCCTTTCCAAAAGAATTGGCATGATCCAAACAGGTTCTGAGCAGTAACATGCTTCCCTCAACTCCATGCATTGTGTACTGACAGGTGAAACACAGGTACAATAACATCAGCATAATCATCATATGAATCAATGGAAGACATTATTGTCAGTAACATGAGCAGGATAAACAAATACAAACACAATTGCTAACGGTCCACTAAAATTACGACTAAAACAGCCATCCGTAAAATTATTATTTCCAAGGAATGAAATTATTATTTCGTGAGTTTAGATGCAAAATAGTATTTCTTAATTGGAAATAACATAAATTATGTAGGCAATTTTGCCAAACCACGTATAAAATCTGTGATTTTTTTATTCTCTGTCGTATTTTTTATTCTATTCCATCATCGTGTTTGTGTAATTTTTCAGAACTCGCATATTAAATCCCAGATCTTCTGTGTGTCCTGACAAATGAAAAATATTTTTCTATTTTGTATGCTTCCAGCAGGTATTATGTACTCTTCATTGTCACTTTTTTATTTACTAATTATCCTTCAGAAACATGCAACCTGTGCCTGTGAAATTGTCGCACTGTGGAAAATATACACCACTTCTTATAATTTTCTCGTTATCTTAAGATTGATATATTGTATAAATATAATCTAAAGGTACAGAAAGTGCCACTAAGATTAGGTAAGTAACTTTAAGTTACACAATGGCGGTTACAATCAAATAACGGATTTTATGCTGTATGTTAACAGGGAACCTAGACATACTAACTCCACTGAGGTCATCACACTAGCATCAGAGAAAAAAAGTCCCCATGTAAGGTACTCGATCTTATCACAGATACATGACATGTATGCAAAAATTAACATTAAATTTACTTTGCATCCCCTTCAAATAATTTTTTTCCTAAATCAGGCGCACCCAAAAATAGAGACAAGACACACTTATTTCCAAACACATTCATTTAGAGTCTCAGTTTCTGCGTACCATACACACTGAAATGAAGAATTCATCTCTTAGAAATCCAGAATCGAACATTTTTTCGGTTCAAGGATTGAGCATTAGCCTGTCTAATTTCTCAGACAAAGATGGAACAACCTAAACATAATAAACTACCACTGGCCTGTAACAGCATAAGCTAAAATTGATGGCAAAACCAAAAACTCAACAATCAACAGAAGCTGCTGGAATGCAATAATCAAAATGATAATCGGCTGCATGCCAATCATAGAAACCTACTCCAGCATATTCTGTAATCGACAAAAGGTGGGGTACTCGGCAGAAGGTAGGGTAGTCTACGTGATCCTAGTACATGATGTTCCGAAAGAAGCGTAATGAGTTATTGGTTTACCACTAGTCCTGCTAAGTAAAAATCGCACATGAATCAGAATTTGGAAATATCTATTGAATAAAGCAGTCGGTCAGGGATTAGGTACTCTGAAAAAATGGGCAATAGAATTTCCTTTCTCATACGTGAATTTAATCATCGTCGAATACGAAACTCATCCTGGTGAACCACAATAACACCATCACTAGTTAAGTAATTGCCACTAAACGATAACAAGGCAAACCGGGTAATAAGATTTTATAGTAGACCTAATTTGCTGATTTTCATAAAAAGCATCCCATGTGTGTTATAATCAAAAACATTTCCAACATTTAGTTCCATCTGCCCACACAATCTTCCAATAGAATGTAATCTCCAAACTTAGATCAATCCTCTGTTCCTCAGATACACACAAATATGTAAACCCTAAACCAAAAGACTATCAGTCCAAACAATCACAGGATCAAGTACATTTCAGCTAACCCCCAAACAAAGCCCAGATATCACAATATAATACTTGGGGTTTTACAGTAAAATCCAAAACCATCAGTCAAATCGGGAAGAAAAAATAAACACAAAATAAGCGCATATATACAATTTGCACCCAACGAAAAAAAAAAACAGATTTACAGGATCTAAATAAGATTCACTACCTTGCATAGTTCTTGGAAAACTGAATCGTAGTTGGAATCGTTCACGCTTTGAAGCAAAAATCGTATCTGACTGGAAATTTTGGATGAAAACGGAATCATCGGTGAACCAGATTGTGATCCGTCTTTTTCTTTTTCAGTCATGGTTGGGTGTTTCAGGAAATTGGGGGAATTGCTAGGGTTCGTCGAAATGAAAAGAAAATGCAGAAATTTGGAGAGTTTTACAATAGCTGTAAATATGCGAGCAGAGTCTAGTTTGTGGGCTGACCGTGGGTATTTATTTGCGCCGATTGGGTCGGGTATCCCTGACCCGTGTATTATTATTAAATATTATTAAATATTAAATTTTTTCTTTATATTACATATTTTTATTTTATTCTAAATATAAATATTTTATTCTAAATATAAATACATCATGGGCCTTGATAATTACCGATCCATATTTAAGAATACCCTTCCCAATAATTCACTCTCTATCCACCCTTCATCTCTCTAGAAAGAGAAAAAAAAAAAACTTCTAAAGCTTTTATATTAAAAATGTCTCAAAATCTATCTTGTTAAAGTGATTTTTAAAAGAAAATGAGTGCATCGGATGAGGTAACATTGTTTGTTTTTGTTCTATAAATTTCGAAAAGAGGGCTCACAACCAAAACGATCGTGCAAAATCTAATTTTACGTTCAAGTTGGGCGCACACAAGTACAATTCACGCCTAATTTGAGTGAATCGTCTTTGGGGGGTGACAACTCTTGTCCATTTTTTTTTAATTATTTGTTACTTTACCTCTATTTTATTTCATAATTTTTTTCAGGAATAACAAAATTCATCTATATTTAAAGTTGATCATAGTAAGTTTTTTGTAGTAACGGACTTATTTAACTCAAGGAATGAGTTGATAGATTAAGCAAGAGCGACTAGCAGTTGTGGTCAGTACTGTGCATGTACTCAATATTTCGAAGATGCTCAAGTGCCATGTTGTACTCTTTCCCTACGTGCGGAATTTTATTATTTATTTTTCCACGAGTTTTTATTTACATTCCAAGGTTTTAACGAGCCAATGTATGTTGATTGAAAAGTAATCTAAGCTAAAACTTTTTTTCTTAATCAATTTTTTTCCACCGAATTTTTATTACTCGGAAAATTTTAGTGAGGCAACACGAAAAACATAGTAATTGTTCGATAAAAATCCCCAAGAGAGAGTGACGTAAAAAATAATGAGAGTTTTATAGCATAACTACTTGAGTGTTACATCCTACTATTTTCTTAACTTCCCATGTCTCGATCGAATAATGTGTGTAACTCTCGTTGTAACTTCGCACCAATTTATACCTATATTAATAAGAAATATCCTTCTCCTAATAATTCCACCAATTATCTATCTAGGAATTGTCTCTCTTATTATTATTTTCTCTCAACATTATTATTATTATTATTTACACCTTCATGTATTAATTCACAATCACCAATCAAAGTACTAATGTAAATAGATCAATTTACAATGAAAAATTGATTTTTTAACAGTTATAGATGATCTGAATAAATTAATTCCAGCCTGCAATTCATGATCTTATCCTTAGCTTTCCTCATTGATTGAGTCATGTGTACTTGTTTTTATTTAAAAAAAAATCCGTGAAATATAATGGAAAAAAAGAAGGAATTTTCTGGAATTAATTTTTCTTAGCACTAAGAAAAATTCATTGAAAGAAAAATCATAAAATTAACCACCACAAAAAAAAAAAGTTGTTTCAGATTTGAGATTTAAATAAACTTAATTAAATTAAATTAAATTAAATTAAATCCGGTGATTAAGTACACTGATCGCTGGCGTCAGCACACGCGGAAATGGCGGCCATACGCCTCTTGCTGCTGTTGGAGGAGCATCTCCTTCTGCCGCCGTAGTTCGAGAACCTTCCGATGAGAGTTGGAGTGCTGAGTCAGCACGAACGTCGGGCTCGCCGCCGGCCTGTACTCCGGCACTAGCCGCCCCGATTTGTACCTCACGCCGCAAGCGTTGCACAGCGTCTTCGGGCCCAGCGGCCCCGTCCTCCACTGAGGCGTCTTCTCCGACGCGCAGTGCGTGCACCTACGCGCCACCTCTGCGTCCTCCGCACCACGCCCGTTTCTGACGAAACTACCCTCCTCCTTCTTCACACTGACGCCGCCGACGTCAATCGGCCTCGGAATCTCAACTGCTAGCGAGGCGGACGACGGCCGGGAGCGTTTGCTCCGAGCGCGGCCGTGAAATCCGGCGGCGGATTTCAATTGTAAGCTGGCGGCAGCCGAGGGTTCGCCCGCCGGGAAATCGACGAACGAGTCGTCCATATAGGTCGATAGCCACTCCAGCTCCGCCGCGTCCTCGGTCTACGCGCGCACACACAAAAAAAAAAAATCAAAAATCCAGTAATTTCAAAATCAAACAGATCCATTATTAAAACCTGAAATTAAACTTAAATCAGAATTGAATATATTCAATTTCAATCGATTACGTACAGGTACAGAGAGAACATCGCTGAAGTCGGTGGAGTAGCTAGGAACAGAGGAATACTGTTCAAAGTAGGCGGTGGATGGGTGATGGTGGAGGTAATCCGAGACGGCGGCGGTGGGGGCGGCGCCGCCGGAGGAGGAGGAAGAAGCGAAGAAATCATCACTAGGCAAATCTAACAGATCATCTACAGCGTATACATCCATGTCAATTCCCAATTTAAGGTACGTACTTTGAATTTGTCTGCAGTAGTACTGTGTGTAGTGTGTGTATTGTGAGTGAGGTTTAAGCAGTGTGTGAGTGTGTGTTGATTTAGAGAGAGAAAGGAGGAGAGAGAAAGGAGGGGAGAGAGAGAGAGAGTAAGAAAGAAATAAGAAGAAAGAAGAAGTAGAAAGCAAGGTATAAATGATGGCAAGTGAGGGGGCAAAGGAACGTGGGTAGAGTCAATTACACCATGCAATAATCTTATTGCTTAGGGTAATTTCATGTTACCCATTCCCATATGGTTGACTTAACACTCTACTCTAATTTGGATTATACTAATAATTACTAGTATATGGAGTATATAATAACTTAATTTTTCAGAAAATATCATGTAACCCAAAGCTACTTAATTTCATCTATATATTTGTGTAGGTTAGCTTGACATTAATCACTCCCACCTAGGGGTTAAAAGTCGGATGGAATGCATCGAAATTAATTTTTTTAGGAAAATTTTCAGTTGTTTTGGGAGTATGAAACTAATTCCAAAATTTTCGGAATTTAGAAATTCATTCCAGTTCCAAGAGCTATGGAGATTTCGGAAATAACATGAGTTTTAACATTTTTAATAAGTTTTGGAAACTTTCGTAAATTTTCAGAAATAAAAACACTCACTTCCATAAAATCATAAAACTAAAACTACTTTTTTTTATCAAAAAATCTAAATATTTTTTATATTATCCCAATTCCAATCCAAAAAAAAATCGAAAATTATGGAAATCAGAATGAAAAGCATTATTCCGAAATTGGAAATTTTCGTATCGAAACCGACGAAAAACTGAAAATTGTGTTCCAACTTTCACCCTTAGCTACTCCGAACTCTATCGCACTATCGCCAAACTATCCGTAACAGGTGTTCTAATTTCAGACTCAATTATTTACCAAATGCATCTATATAGAATGATGCAAATTTCGTGGCAACAAAAATAAAAATAAAAACTGTATTAGCATGATAATTAGTAGAGTTTACACATGCACGACTGACAAATTTTGCACCTACTGATAATTAATCAATCTAATTACTGTGACATATATATAATAATAATATAATTGGTTAATTAATTAATATTAACCCACATGCTTCGTTCACATGGCATACACACAAATCCGAGCAGCACAACTTAATAGTTATAGTGATTTTCTGGGCTCTATTACAACAATTCACACAGGCCAACTGTCAATAATTTATTTCTCAAATAAGAAATTTTTAATGCTATTTAAAAATATTAATTAAAGAAATATTATAAATACTAGTATATTATTTCAAAATACTGAAATTATATATTCATAATATAATTTTGAAAAGGAAACACAAATGATTATCGATGCGTGACTGTTTCGTTATTTACGGTACATTTTCCACGTATGAATTATTGAATTTAAATTAAATATTATTATCTTGGCGTAGCGTACCCATGACTTTCTTTTAATTTATATATATTCATTCTCCCTTTACCTTTGTTGTTTGGTTTTGGGTATGCTAAGCCATGCTGCTCGTCATTTATATTTTTATTTTATTTTATTTTTATTTCTTAAAATATATGCATCTATTGTCGGTGGTCCTTGATCTTAGTAAAAGTACAAATTGAAATATAATTAGTATTTATTTCCAAATACATTTTTATGATATAAAAAGATATAGTAATATGCGCATACATACATGTTGGATGAAAGAGTAAGAAAAAAATAATGGTAGGGTAAAAGGGGTATGTGTATAGTAAAAGATTCTCGCAAATGAGAAAGGGTACGGTCCGTACAGTTAGAAGAGTACTCGCATACTACAAGTATTCCACGTGGTTGCCGTTGATAGGCTCGTAGATCACTCTATTGCTTATTGACACACAAATAAGCCTATAGCCTACAGTTTTGGGCCTGCGGTTTTGTCCATTTCCACCAATCTAGTACTATTATTATTACCACAACTAAACCTAGCTAGCTCATCTTTTTCTCAGTGCAACCAGGAAATATGAATTAAAGAAACGTGAATCTAAACTTGGAATTAATTTAAAATTCTTTTATAAAAATGTGCATAATTGTAAAAGTACTCGTTCGATTCTGATTGGCCTAGAATAAGAATAAAAATTGATTATCCTAAACCGTGGTTAAATTGGAAGAGAAATGAAAACAAAAAAATGATACTTATTCGGTGCAATTTACATCTCTTGTACGACGAGTTATTGCAGAGTTATTGCACGAAAACAAAGTTTATCCAAAATAATTTGAGAAAATCAAGCTCAATATAGTTGAATTTTTCTATTGAAGGAATAAAAAAGAGTCGGTTGTAATTATGAGGAAAACACTAAAACAGTGAGTCACCAAAACAAAGTGTCAGTATAAACTAATGAGGATATATAGTTGAATTATATTATAATAATGAGGACATGTGACGGGAGAGTGGCTTTTCTGATCCCCATATAAATTGCTCGGCACGTGCATCTTCACGTGACCGTCATTAATTAATTAATTGTTGATGATGATGATACTAAGCAGTGATCACAGTATTAATGGGGATTGTTAATATAATGGTAAATCCAGCTGTATATATGCTAACACTATTTTATTAACTTCATCAGACCAAGTGTAAGTAAGATGTTGGCATTTACCACACATAATTTTAAATATTCAGATTAATCATGTTCTATTAACATGCCCAAATCCAAATGCATCGTCCCTTGGACGCTACAGCTTCTCTCTCTCTCTCTCTCTCTCTCTCTCTCTCTATGTATTGTGAATTTATTTTCCAATTTTTCTCTAATTTTAGACTTACATAGAAGCAATATATGAATTAAGTGATTAAGTGTAAGATGTACACTAAATGCAGGGAAGTCATATGCTACACCAGATATTTGTTAATGTAAGTGATGTTAAATAATCACCTACTAAGAACACATACAAATGAGGATGCGTGTGATTATGTATACATTTACGGTTAACGATTACTCTGTGTGTGTAGCATAGAATTTCCCACTAAATGCATATGTGGTGCAAACAAACTATTTTGTGTGGGTGAATAGTAGATTTTTACCCAATATATAGAACTACAAATTTAACTGTGTTGATTGCCACAAAACCCAAATAATTATATGAATTCAGAATAACCAAAATTTTCACCAAAACATCTATCATATTACATATAACTAAAAGTTATAGCCAATAAAACAAAAAAGGAACACAAAGAAAAACACGAATAAGCGACCAACTAGTTGAGATTTCTGCAAATAAATATTTAATTCATCCAAATTTTACCACTAGAGAACCAGTTCCTAATTTCCATCCCGTTAATTGATATGCGTAGGTTCTTCCATAAGCAACAAAACTTTCCTCCAGCCTAAAACGAGCTTCGATTCAAACACACAGAAAACAAGTACTGAAAGAACATAAACCACAATCCCAAAAAAAGTCGTCGATCAAAAGTCATGATCACTTACAAACAAGACTTCAAATCAAAACTCAATCCTCGCCTTGACCATCATCTTTGACAAGCTTGATCATGTCGTCAATTCGAAGAATAGTAATTGCCGCTTCAGTAGCAAACTGACAAAAAGAGGGATAAGGGGGGAAAAACAATATTAATAGATTGCATTAGAATTCTTTAACTAATTATAGGTTAATCGAGTTTTAGCAAACCTGAATTATCTTCACTTTGCTCATTGCAGGTTCGATGACTCCTGCTTCCAAGTTGTTGCGAACAGTACCCTTCAACAAGTCCAGACCCATGCTGCAGTAATAGAGAGTGTCGGATCAGACAGCGTTTTAATTACCATTAATTCATTTTTCAAGTAGGATGACAGTACCCTCATTTGAGAATGTTGATGGATTAATAAGATTGATTGTGTATGTAACATTATCCGTGATAATGTAATATGTGATTATCTTATATTTAGGATGTGGAATTTATACAATCCTCATTTCTTGAAACCTAAATCCCAAACATTTGACAAAAAATGATTATATTTTATGTCAAGCCTAATCCCAATTCCCAAACAAGGCCTAAGCTTTTTGATCGATATCTAGGTTAGGAGAGCCATGAAGCACAGTAAGCTTTAATCATAAATTAAAAATACATCTACTTGCAGTTAAAATTCGGAATTTATGATATGATGATAGGTTCAGTTAAATCCGGAATTTCATTGATCATCAAGCTGTTAGTTTAAAGATATCAAAAGAAATCCAAGAGAACTTTATTATGTTATTAGAGATACCTCAAAAAAGGAATACTATCCAAGCGTTAAATAACATGTTTTTTGTACCTTGAGAGATGCTTTTTATCTGCCTTAGTTTGTGCAGTGTGGTGGTAAGCTCGTAGTTTAGCAACCAATTCAGTTGCATCTTTAGCAGCATTGACAGCAAGCACCTGAAAAGACACTATAAATTAGCCATTGGAGTAGCAAAGGAAAGATATGGGGTCAATTAGTGATGGAGGACCTTCGGTATAATCAGCAAAGATTCAGCAAATTCCGCAATGGCCAGCTGTTCCCTTGATCCTAAGGTAGTAGCCAGATTCTCCAGATATACAGATAGGGCAGCCTCAACTGCACCTCCACCAGCAACAACCTATATTTCGGTACAGATGCAAAAAAATGAGTCAAACGGACAGAAAATACAGTTACTGTTCCTCTTACGAGACTAGAAATATTGGCATTTCCCAGAATCTACCAGTTTGTAAAGAAATTAAAGCTTTCTTGTTAAATCGGGTCAAGGTGCTTACTGTATTAGATTCCAGAGTTCTTTTGACAATGCATAGAGCATCATGCAAAGCCCTGTCCATCTCATCAAGCATGTAGTCGTTGGCACCTCTGAGTATTAAAGAAACCTGAAAAAAAATCAAACATAAATTTGCTGCTTGGGAAGTACAAATATAGTAAACTGTCTTCATTTCATAATGTAGCCTTCCTTCAAATAAAAGAAATAAAATTGAAAAAGGTGGCTGTAGGGGCCATAACAGGTCAATAGGGTATGCCGAAGAATCACAAGTAACTAAAGAAGCATTTCAACAAGGCTAAAGAACAGAGTATTTCAAATGAGTAATCGTACCGCACTTGAGGTTTTGGTCCCTTTTATCATAATCACATCATCATCAGCAATACGTTCCTCCACTACTTCATCAGCATATCCTAGAAAAGTTGAATCAAATGTTTCTTCCCCTTCCATATCTGCAAAAGTTGAGACCTGCAAAGAAGCCATAATTAAGACTAGAATTATTTACCGAATATTAAGCTGTCAAAACTATTTTCACCACTCCTAATCTACAATTGTTACCACTAAATTATCACAGAAACTATTGAATGGTAATCAAATGCATTCACTTAAATATTTCTTCCATTTGGTTCATTTGGCAGATCACTGGAAGTGAAGGCAAACTCTAGGCGCTACATCAAGTAGAAACTTCAAACCATTTACACAAATAAAAAAGGAGTCATACAGATTACAGGAAGTAGTAAGATAACTTTATTTACATCAATTAAGAACCAAAACCATAAGCTTCTATAGATGCTGATGAATTATTAACACTGTTTAATTGGTCATCTTCTTGATATTTCTTCTCTAACAATCTAATTATTCAAAAATATCCATGATTTCATCTAAGTGTTGTCACATTCAGCCCAAACTCATTTATCGTAGAATATATACAATTTTTTGAAGTCTTGAAGTTAAGGCAAGATAGAGAGAAATCATGTTTATGTCAGCCATGTCATTTTAAAGCAAGAGAAAGTACCGCAGTTGCACCAGTTGCTTTCGCAACATGGCGTAGGTCATCCTTCCGGACACGTCTCACAGCTATTGCACCAGCTTCCACAAAGTACTGAAACAGTTTAAGACATGTTAACAAAGCCTCCATACCAGAATGTGGTAAACAGTATTGCAGGTTGGTGAGAAAGCATGATATATAAAAACACCAAGCCTAATAAAAGCAGTAATTAAGCTAACAAGCTAGCAATTCACTGGTTTACATGGGCTTCAAAACCTTGAGCAATCAATTTTGAAAAAAAAATTCTTGCCTTAAGTGCCATATCATCGATTCCTTTTGTAGTTAAAATCACATTTGCTCCTGCCTTAAGAATCTTCTCAATTCGTTCTTTTGTCGTGTCAGCTTCCCTGCAAGATCGGAGTTGCATTTATCATAAAACATAGGTGAAGCCATCATCTAAAAGCCCGAGGAAATTTATAGTCTAATAATTATTCATAAACTGGAGTGCAGCTTTCCAAAGCATTCTCGAAAATTCTTAACCAACAATTGGGTGCAAGTGAAAAAATCATTTCAAGCTTAAACTCGAGTCTTTGGTATAAGCTTGAGCTCAACAAAATGTACTGGAGCTCAAGCTCACCAAATGAGTCAACCTCGACTGGAGCTCAAGCTCGATTACACGCCGACACATGCACATGAAACTAACAGCGAAACAAGTGAACAAAATGTGCAACATAGGACCCACTAAAGTAATATCTGTCTTCTCCTAGTAGCAGATTGTGTACAATGAATAGAAATAATCACCTCTGACGAATCTTTTCCAACTCCCGGGGGTCATTGACTAAAACTTGGACACCCATTTGCATTTTAGTCTTTTGAAGATTAAAATCGAGGCAAGCAATTCTGGCAGGTGAAACCCTCAAGGGCATTCCCTGTGCAGCACGTCCTGTGTTCAGAGCATAACCTTTGAGCAGATAGCTATCTCTAGCACTTTTCCCATGGGCTTTAAGAATATTGATTCCCTGAGAACAAAGAAGACCATTAGAACTTCTCTCTTCCAGATGAAAGCTTAAGTAATACTTTGGGCAGAATTTATCTATTAATACTCAGTTCTCAGCTCTAATTTTAGTTACTAAAATCTGCAAGTTCCAGGCCCATCTTTTGGGTTACTTACCATACTATGACCCTATCACCGAAGAAGACAACAAACAAGTAGTTTTTCAGAACAAGAAATGCAACAGAACTTAAGTGAATTTTCAATCCTATATAAATCTCACCCATAAAAGAATTGGGGCCATTGAAAAAATTTCTAGGAGAGAGGCAACATCAATAAGCAACAATATGAATTGCGAAATTGTACACAACCAACCTTAATTGGATATCTGACTTCGCCTCTTACATTTGTCATCTTTATTGCTTGTACAGCTTCCACGACCTAAAAGATTAATATAATTAAGAGATTTCAGATAATAAGATCAATTCCAACAAGGGTACATAAAAAATAAAATAAAAAATCATACAGAATAGGCATAACCCCGGATTGTTATTAACCAGAGACAGAGAAGTGACATAAGTCAGAAAAGATTCATTGTAGATCACAAAATTTACAACAAAAATAGCAAGATAAGTTTTCTTCAAGGCAAAAAGCTGATGGAAGGCTATGCTCAGTATTTTCCAATAGGCATTTTAAAATACTATAAAACTACAAGAAAAAATGAATCATTAAAATGCTATGCATTGGAGTAAAATTCAATCTGCTAATTTAATCAATTATACATCCATGGCAGTTGTAGATTCATGGTTCATTGATTCCTCAACTTACCAGATTCGCGAAAAAGTCACTATCACCACCTATCAACTTTGAGGACATGCTGGTCTTGGCACAATTCACAAGAGAATCTTTACCAAGTTTCTCAACCTAAACACAATTGCGAAAAGAATGTCAGCTCCAAACACCAATCAATTATATATTATCAACAGGATAACAACGTGCAGTAGCAGCATACTACGTTGTGGAATATAGTATCAAAATATCATCATATCAATGTCTAAAAACTTAAACATTAGAATGATCACTTCATCTAAGAACTGAATTTTGTCATTCTACTTTATTTTCTTTTATGCAAGGAAAAACGCAAACAGACAAATATTTGGAAGAGGCAAGAAATGAAGATTTTAGAGCGAAGAGTACCAAAGAGAGAATATCTTCCTTCCCATGTGCCAAATCACAAAATATAACACATTTTTAGGGGTTCAAACTTTTGCACATCAATTTAAGCGCACACAAATTACAATAGGAATCTTAATATTTTGCACATCTTTGTGCCTTACAACACCCATAGCAAATGGAAGCCTTCACATTTCTTAAGCAATCAACTCAAATAAAAGTGTTACCTTTACAGCAAGTTTTTCATCAACATATTTGCATGCTTCCCTCATAGCAAGCTGGACAACAGAATTATGCAATCAAACTCACAGCATAAACATGCATAATAGATTGATCTATAATTGAGAAAGAAACTACATCTGCACGAGTCTTTTTTGTGTGTGTGTGTGTGGGGGGGGGGGGTGGGGGGGGGGGGGGGGTGTTGCAAAAAAGTTAGATGCTCACTCTGTAACCACTGATTATTGATGTTGGATGAATCTTATTTCTCACTAAATCATTGGCTCTCTGTAAAAACAAATTCCAAATTAGTTATATTGTTCATAATGAATGCAACCTAGAGTACCAAAATTTAGGCAACATGTCATCATCTTGACACAAATTGGAAATACTACCTTCAGCAATTCAGCAGCTATTATTACAACAGAAGTTGTCCCATCTCCAACTTCTCGGTCTTGTAGTTCTGCCAACTCAACAAGAACCTGAAAGCAAGAAGTCAACAGATATAAGATGCATATTGTTGAAAATACTAGATTTGAAAACTTTCGGGGAAAAAAGAAATTGATCCCTCACCTTGGCAGCAGGATGCTCAACCTCGAGCATCTTCAGTATAGTGGCACCATCGTTAGTGATTGTCACATCACCAATATCGTCCACAAGCATCTGTTAAGTGCCAAACGTACATGAGAAAAGTTAATTGTCAAATATTTCAAGTCCAACAGAACTATTCAAATACATATTTAAAGGACACACTCTACTAACCCTCTCATTTTGGTCCAACAAGCTAGACTGTAAAAATAAACCGTCAAGTACTACGAACATCACAAAAGGCAAGTTATGCCACATTTCTTGCTGACAGTTACTCGCTAAAATTAATTAGTAAAAAAACCAAGCAAGAGTAACTCAATCACTAGTTTTTCCTCTCATAGGTAATAGCACTATCAAATAGCACAAAATCCTGATCAATCTATCATTTCAATGTAAGAACAAAGAACAACGTAAAATGAGCAAAACAAGATACCAAGGAAAATGTTTCATATGAATAAGCATATATTTCTATTTAATGGAATCTCCATATAAATGAAAGCAAATCCAGAGCTATTGCCCCTCATAATGTAAAAAAAAAGATAGGATTTGGATGTATATGATTCTTTTCTCCTGTACCAGCTTTAGCCAATGTATGACCAGATATGTTGCTAATGCTAATATAAGCAGTAACCCAATCTAGCAATATTCAAAACACTATTCCCCGAACATTGAACTCTTGGTGACATTTTTATAAAACAAAAGAAAAGGATACTAGCAAATTCGTATTCACTTAATCCTTCAAGATTAATTTCCACTTGCATACCTGCTAAAACCACACTTGTCTATAAAAGATCTTGAAAATCGTTTAAAAAGATTTTGCAATGTGCATCTTTTACATTTCAACTGTGCTACAACTATGTGCATTTGATGAATATCAGCAGCAGGAACACAGTTGTGCAAAAAATAATTAAAAAAATAGACTACATATCCATCTCAGCCCATGTTGTTCCAACTCCCACTACTCTCCATACTGAAATGATTGTCCTATTCAGCTTCAACATAAACGCGCTTCTGCGTGGAAAAAAGAAGAAGGAGAAATGAAAGCGAGAAGTACCTTGTCGAGGCCAACAGGACCAAGGGAAGACTTGACAATGTTTGCAATCGCTTGACACGCAACCACTGCACATTTCCAACACACACGCACACACACACAAACACACAAAATCAATAACTTTATCACGCGCACATTATCCACAGAGTAAAAGTTAAGAACACAACGCGTTAGAAGCAACTAATATACAAAAACACAAATATAATAAATTATAATTTGAAGGAAAAAATAAAATAAAAATGGTACCGTTTTGAGTGCGCACATCCTGGCCAGATTGCCGTTCGCCGGCAATATCAGGCGACTGTCCCGTAAACGACATAATAAACTAATCTAAAAAAAGAGGAAATGGCTAAGCAAACAGAAACCCTAGATCGGATCGGAATCTCCAGGCTCCGGCGGGAGCTCCGGCTGGCGGTTATAGCGATGAGATGCGGTGAAGTGAGAGATTTGAAGTGGCTTGAATACGGCTCGGCTCGAGTGTGTATCTCTCTCTCTCTCTCTCTTCCTCTAGAGAGTTCAATTTTCAGGGTTTGGAGAGTGGAGAAACCTTGTGAGTGTGTTTAGGAGGGTTTGAGCGAAATTTTTGAAATGTTACGACGTCGTATTTGCGTTGCTGTGAGTAGGAATTGGGCTGGGCTTTCAAACCGAATCTTTCTGTATAATATTCCCTTCTCCACTTTGAACTTGTAATGAATCCAAAACAAATAGTCCATTAGTGTGATCCATTTAATATATATACAGGCTAAATAACAACCAAACCCCTGATTGATGGTCAAATTACAAAAAAACTCCTCATGTTTGGGTAATTACAACCACCCCTAAACTATAAATCTTCTTACACGTCCATCAGTGGAATCTTCTAGTTTATATGGAATATTCGCAATACTTGTTTTAACTTTTATCTCATTGGAGCTCCACATTTCGAACAAGATGATCATAAGATGTGTTTTTTTTGGATTAAATATATCAGATTGTGGTGCATCAGAAACTGCATTTTTTCACAAAACGAGAACAAACTAGAGACCATTCCACGTAATCTAAAAGATTATGGTGAATTTGACACTTTAAGAGTGAACATGTAAGAAGATTCACAGTTGAGTGATGGTTATAATTACTCAAACATGAGGGGGTTTTCGTAATTTGACATTCCTAGGAGTGGTGGCTATAATTTACCTTGATTTAATTAAAGTCTCTTTATGACGTCATTTAAAAAATATCCTTTTATTTAATTTTTCTTACTTGAAAGTTCACCACCACCCTATAAGCTGTGCATTGATTAGCTTCACTAAACAAGTGTTCTTCATAAAAATATATTTTTATGAATTTAATAAAAATATATTAATAAGATAAAATTAAGCAAGTGATAATTAAAAGATATATTTGTTATTATTAAATAAATAAAAGTATTTAAGAGTTAATTGGATATTGATTTTTATATGCTGAAAAATCTGACACCAGAAAGATATCACATGGCGGCCACAAATTGCCTTCAGCTTCCCGCCATCGCCATTGGCAACTTCACACACCCAACCAGGAGCTTCGCTGCAGTCACCCGCTCCTCCCTCACAGAACAATCCCAGTCCCCCTCCTCCGTCGCCGCCAAGCGCCACCTCCTCCGCCTCGTCTCCGATCAGGACCGCGGCCTGAAAACCCAATCCGACCCCCAAAAGCTCTCCCAAATAATCGAAGCAATCGATTTGCTGGCCGCCGTCGGCCGCGGCACCGTCACCACCGACGGATCTCTGTCGTCCACGTGGCGGATGCTCTGGACCACGGAGAAGGAGCAGCTCTTCATCGTGAAGAATGCGTCGTTTTTTGGCACCTCCGCCGGCGACGTTTTGCAGGTGATTGACGTGGAGAAGAAGACCCTCAACAATGTTATCACTTTCCCGCCGGACGGAGTCTTCTTCGTCCGGTCAGATATTCAGGTTGCTTCGTCTCAGAGAGTCAATTTCCAGTAAGTAATTTATTTCAAGGTTACGATTTCCCCAATTTGTTGCAATTTATATAGTCACATCTTTGATGTTCCCCAAATTAATAACCTCGATTAAATTATACGTTTTCTCGATCCTGACTAGAAGGCTACGTTGCTAAAAGTATTTCGTTAAATTAATATTTCACTAAATTAATAGAATTTGGCTGGTCTCAATTGATTCTCGAAATTGTTAAGCTTTGAATTACCACTTCATCTAAAAGCTTAAAATATCGATGATATTTCATTTGGCTGTCAGAATTCATGTTTGAAGGAGATATAAACTTTTGGAATTGTTTTGAGGATTTTTTTTTTTTGAAAACCTAAATAAACATATATAGATTCATTTTGGGGAAACAAACAAAATCGGAACACCACCAAAATATGGCGGAAGTGTTTATTAATGTATGTGTGCTTGCCATTTAGTATACGTGTTGTAAAATCGGATATAATAGGCGGATTTGTGATGCATCGCTATCTAGCAAACATTAGTTTGATTAGTCTAAGGAAATGTATCGAGACAGTCACGTGTTAATTTTTTATTTTTTATTTGATAAGTAGTCGCGTGGTAAATTATTTCATGCTATATATGGTCATGCGGATGAATTATTCAAGATTACCATCTAGAAATTCCGTAACATTATAGAGACAATTTGAATTATTTTAGGTCCATATAATTCATATTCGATGAGCTTTTCAAGAATTTGGAAACGGTGCATCATAATATTTTGACGACTCTTTGTTCTGCAGATTTACGAGTGCAGTTCTACGCGGTAAGGGTTGGGAGTTTCCGTTACCACCATTCGGGCAGGGTTGGTAAGTGGTCCTTTTTCTCTTTCTACATTTTAAGTATTTCAGTTTCCTCAACTTCTTTATATATTCATGAAACATATGTAATTGTTAAAGATCCGAAAGAAGGAATTGCTTGTAACTTGCGGTTTTATCACCCCGACTTTAGTGATAAGTCCCTCAAAAAAGAAAACACCCGAAAATTGATTTAACTTGCCTAGTCAATAGGGATTCAAACACTTTCCAGAGTTCGTTGCAGAGGATCTAAATAAAATTAACTCCGTTTAAACTATGTTCTTTTTCTTTTAGATATATTCGTATTATCTTGATGCAATTGAAATAAATTCACAATATTCCCCTGTAGGTTCGAGTCGCTATATATAGATGACGAAATTCGGGTGGTGAAAGATATTAGGCAAGACTATCTGATTGTCGAGCGTGCTCCTTATTCTTGGAAAGAATGAATTTGAGGGTTCAAATTACAGTGACTTCTTGTATTTTAATTCCATTTTTTTGGGGTTTCGTCGAATTTGTAAATTATTTGTATGATATATTTGTTAATGTACTTCAATAGAGAGGTGTATGGTTAATCTGTACACAGCTCATTAACATTCATAACTAAAAGTTATGCTGTTGAAATGTGTATATAAATATATATGATTTCTATGGGGCATGTTTAATAGGTAGAAAAAATCGGTTTTGTTTATCGTTTTTGAAAGTTTTCTATTCACGAGGAGCTGGTGTAAGACAACCAGAAATATATATGTATGTATTCCCTCGGCTCTTATGGATTCATCATCTTTGCTTGTGGACTTAGACTGAGGTTTGTTCAAGCATAAATCCAGGTATTCTTTCTCCTTATGTCTATTGTTAATTCTCTCGTCGTTTTCTTAATTCTTAGGTAAGTCAGAATACATTTCGAGTGATATGGCTATTGTATACCGTTATATGCGATCAACTCCGATATAAACTATCTTAACCTTAGAACATTTTTCCTTATATTATACATTCATTCAAGCGAAAAAGTACAGACAGTTCATCTATGAAAATATACTTTATCTTATACATATACGAGGGCCGTTGTGTTGAATTGCTAACGCCGAAAATTCCTTTCAGCACTTTTGCAGCCACCCGACGAGGCTCTCTAAAGCAACTGATTGTAGCGCCGAAGAGGCGAAAAGTTGGCACGAGATCATCGAAAAACGCGTTTTTTTTTCCAATTGTTACTCAGTTTTCATCTGAGAAGAAGAAGTATGGGAGAACTATTAGGCGAAAAACACCCCAAGACATAGAGGAGAACACTCGCAAAAGGGAGATTTGTGAAGGTACGAAGAGAAATAACGAAGTCTAGCTCTCAAATTCTCCACGTTCTTATCAATCGAGTTCTTTCTCTCTCTTAGTTTCGTTCGTGGTCTTGCTTAGGCTTAAATTAGTTGTTATTATGTTCTGTAGGACTCGATAATATTTTAATCAAGAATTTCAATGGAATCCTACGTAGTTTTTTGTTGAATTGAATTTCAACTCTTTCAGTTATATCTTACTGCTTGTTACGATACGTGCACTCCTGCGTGTTATAGGAAAATCACCAATCGTACCCGATTAAACAAGTCGGAAGAGAAGTTCAAATATCTAGTGAAATGTTTACGGGGGTCGGTCACCTACGCTTCATCAATGTCCAAATAAACCTAAAATATATATATATTTTTCTTTTTTCACAATCATTTTCTTTCATCATCAAAATCTTAAAAACCAAATAAATATTAAAGCATTACTAGTTCATTGCAAGATTGGAAAATCTTGATTGACAGCATCAAGCAAGTTGCAACCAATCCAAAAAAAAAAATGGTGAGCCACCACGTTGTTCCAATTGGGTGTGTTGGAAATGGACCCTCTCTTTGATAATGCAGGTTCTTAGTGTGCAAAATGTTTTTGGTGGGTAATACTCAAAATCAAGACTTAACTTTTTTTTTTGTTGGTTTTGTAATCAATTTTAATTTGGCCCACCATTTACCAAAATATATGTGTGGTACCTGTTTTGCAGCTACTCTCTCGATCTCATATTATATGTCGTTTTGGCGGTAAATGTTAAAATAACCTTATCGTTAGTTGTTTTTCAACTATTTAATTAAGAAGGGGTAATGACAAATAGGCTCATGATAAGGGCACTTAATTAAAAGAGGGTCATCCAACTTTTTTGTCTTTCAAATAAATCCAGTCCATTCAAACTTATTTGCAAATAAGGAATATTAATTAAAATATTTTTTTTCTAAGAAAAACAATTAAAAAAAAAAAAAAAGTCAACGCCAGAGACCGGCGGTAAACGGTGGTTGACCGGCCGGAAAAAAATTTCAGGAAAAAAAAGTTTCAAAAAAAAAAAAAAAAATCAACGCCGGAATCTGGCCGGAAAAAAAATACATTTCAGAAAAAAAAATTATTTTCTGAAAAAAAAAAAGTTTTGGGGGTTAATGTGATATATTTGTTTAAATTCGGGGTCAATGTCTAATATTAAGGAAGTTAGAGTGTAATGGGTGGAATTGATAAGAATTATATTATTGAGGGTATTTTAGACTAAAGACATGGGGATGAGCTTAATTGAGAGACCGGGTTTTTTGGACCAAAATGCATTTAAGTCTCATGTGATGGACCTTTTTGCCATTTGCCCAATTAAGAATCATAAGTGTCAAAATTGATGAAAATTCAATTAATATTTTATTAGAATTCTAAAATTACAAATAATTTTGGACAAATAATATGGGACCAACGGAGTACCATTTTTTTCAAATTCATCAACTATCAATTGTTGCACTTTTCCGGGGCTCGTGGCCTTTTTTGTGGAGTCATTGAAATTGACAATCATGTGAAATTTGGAAAATATAATTTTTTTTTTTTTTTTTTTTTTTAAATATGTGGTAACATATTAATGTGAAATCACATCAACTACGTAGTTCGTAAACCTTTTGAGCTCTAAAATTATTTGCGAAAGTGGTGGGGCCCGATGATTACCCGCCGACCTAAAAATAGCTTTTTTTCTCTTAAAACATAAAGATATTTTGATGAAGAGGTTTGTTTATAAACAAATCAAATACCCTCTCATGCAATTATCGCAAATTGTATCTTCGTTACATTTGAAATAATTCAGTACTTTATACGGATACATTACACTGAATCGACCCTCACCAACCTCGTTTGATTGACAAAATAAATCACAACAAACTAAATAATTAGTTCTTACGATCTTTGATTAGTGCAATAACTTTGCCCGCCCGCGTGTATTAAATTTGTCGGTAGAAATACAATAACCAAGAAAGAAAAATCTTGGAACACTAGTACATTTTTTGGGTACAAAAGTTTGAGAGCAAACAAGCAATGTGCAGAAGATTGAAAACTAGTGAACAATAAGTGGGGGTGTGATGGTACTAAAAAATATATTGTGGGTTCTAAAAATCTTTAGTGGTCCCTAAGAAATAAAAAAAATGGGGACATGTGAGAAAGAAAAAAAGACCAAAGCCCCTAAGGGCTAAAAAAGATGAGTGAGTGTACGTATGGGGATTGAAATTGATGAGTGAGTGCTCTTCTTTAAGGAAACAACACCCAAACACACCAAACGTACCCTATAAAGTTGTTTTGTCCTAGCTACCTTCTCTTATTGCAATCTTAATAGTATTGAATAATAGAGAAAAAATTGGCTTCTAGAAATTCGATGTGGGATATTTTTTTTTTTTTACTCGGGTGGAAATTGGAATGGGGTTTTCGATCTCTGTATATTCTGATTTTAGGATCATATTACGTATAATATCAAAATTGGAATCGGAATGAGGTTTTCGATCTCTGTATTACTCTGGTGGAAATTGGAATTGGAATGGGGTTTTCGAATTTCCAAAATTTCAATTTTCGACGACTGCACTTATAATATCAATATTACGTATCTTATTATAGTACGTCTTAATAAAAAATGATTTGTTTTTTATTTTTAATGACTTTCGAGGATTGCTATCATAAATTGTATTTTTAGAATTAACTTTCTCATTTCAATTTTCTCAAAATTCAAAAATTAAAAATATTGAAATTAGTTTTTATATTCTGAAAATGAAATGAATTTTTCGAACGTGCTATTTTTGATTTGATTCGTCCAATTTTCACCAATAATTGTGGGCCTTGCTTATCATAATTAAGTAAAACTCTATCTTTTAGTGGTGTTTATTGGTCTAAGGCCCAATAAGGCACGTAAGAAACCATCCCATAACCCAAGTCAAATAATTAAAAGTAAAATAAAAAAATAAAAATTAAATGAAATAGAGGTTTTAAGTGATGTATTTTTTTCCATTCAATTTAAATATTTGAATTGTCGATTTGATCTACCAATTCAAAACGATCATCTAATCGTAATTGTTGATTTACAAAGATCACGAGATCGTGTCCGTTGAAATTATTGTGTGATTTGAATAATACTGTTCGAACCATCATATAAGTGCGCGGTTCGAACTTCCAATTTAAAAATTGAAAAAAAGAAATGCAACTCTTCAACAATTCGACAATTCATCTACATATGCACGAGTTCCGACTCCAATTCCAATTCCGTGTCGAGTATAAACAAAATAAAAATCATTTAACCAACTACAATTAATATCATTTTAAAAAAAGCGTGAAATTGAAATACTTAAAACGTGTTTTAATTCTGCAAGCAAACAATACACATGCAGGGCCCACACAATTCTATACGCATAAACAAATACAAAGCCACTTTTGGGCTGCTTGTATATAATTGCGTAAATTAAATTGTTCATACTAGACAAACAGAACAAATCCCATACACACCTAAATTAAAGTTTACTACACCTAATTAATTAACTAGAAAATAGGATAAAGTACTGTATCGTAATAACGTTGTATAAAACTAAATGTTGCATTATTGCAAGCATTTAAGTATTTTCAAAGGCTTTTATGTACAAAAACACCACTTAACCCTCTTGCGGTTTCATCCCCTGTGGTTAAATACCTAAAATGCCCTCTTAATTTTCTACTATTTATAGGTTCAAACCAGGGCTAGACCCTTGCATTTCCTTTTTAATGATAAATGTAATTAAATTCGATATGATTTAATTAGAAATAGCTCAAATTTATAGGACTAAATTGTAATTTTCATAACTTCTTAAATCCTTAATGTTGTTCTTCTTCTCCTTCACCCTCAAATGTAATTTAAGATTATAAAGATAATTGAAATATTAAATATTTATGTAGAGAAGGCACCACAAAATACATGTATATGAAGGATTATATATCCTCTGATTGTAAACCTAATATCTACGTTAATAATTATCCACTAATCACACATACACATCGATGTGTTATTATGTGTAGATCAATGATGTATTTCACCAGAAGTAGGTTCTACTAAAACGTATCTATAAATTAGAATTTAGATTTCTCATGAAATAAGTTGGTACAACTCTCTCCATTCCCATATATACAACGACCAAAATATGACTCAACGCCCAAGAAATTCTTCTCTCTTGCAAAAAATGCCATAAATAATTAATAAACAAATGCCATAAATAATTAAAATAAATAAATGCCATAAATAAAAACGTAACGCGCTAAACTAAAGCATATGAAGTGTGTGGGTCCCAATTTAATGTTTATCTTCTAGACTAGCTATAAATGTATACAATATAGTAATTCAATTATAAATATATTTCATATTTACTT